ATACAAGTTTATTATGGACAACAACCCATTGCACAAAAGCCAAATCTGTTAACATAAAAAATCACCGTCTTTCTCAACACTGACGTTCCACATGAGCTTTCGAGACAGAAGAGCTTAAAAAGCTGGCTGCCACTCAGAAGTGCAAGCGTGCTAAGTGATCTGATGGAGTGAGTGACAGCTGCCATAATGTGAAGTAAGAGAGAGAGAGGGAGCTAGAGGGATGGAGAGTGCGGCAGGGGAGGAGCCACGACAACATTGCAGCATTTCATTGGGCATAAGAATGCATAGTGTAAAACTGCGTAGCGTATAAGCAGCCAACCAGAAGGTCCAAAGACCACTCCGTTTTATGAATGAAAGGCATATATGTGAGATACACGCTCAAACAATCTTCTTCAGCTGGTGTGATGTAACATAAGCCAAGAGTGTATTAAGAAATTAAAGATACAAAATGTGTTGGCAAAGTGTGATGACTGAAAACATCAGCAAATTGTTCGTTTTTTTTCCAGGATAAAATGTGTTAGAAAAACATTAACAAATCAACTGTAATGGCCACAGACAAGGAAGTAGAAGTGTTATTTGGCTCAACATGTAGAATGGGGAGTAATTTTACCTAACTGCTATGTACAATCATAACCGATGCATATTGTGTGCAACTGGAGGACAATGAGAAGAGCAGCCAAAAACCATTGTAGTATCCTGGTGAGACTTTATGAAGGCTGTGTGTGTGTGTGTGCGCACTGTGTACACTAACCCCACTCACTATGAAGTCACCACTTGGCTCGCAGCTCTGCTACCCAACTCTATTTACTTCGTCTAATGAAATGGATAAACAGTGCCCTCTATTTTGCATTTAAGGGACAGCAAACAAAGCATATAAATGAAAGGCTTTGATGGAATGATTAAACAATACATGTTTAAAACCATTTATGCAACAAACCCATGAAATGTGAAGACTGAGTGTTCAAAAAAGTGAAATATAAAGATGCAATAATTTATTTTAATAATATGTGTATACAAATAACAAAAATAACAATAATACATCAAGCAATAGATGCTTTAAAATGTATTACAAAATAATGCATTATTAAATTAAATACCAAACTAATTTTGAGAATACTGTCCATAAGTCTGTTAACTGAAATAAAAAGCTGTTTTAAGTTGATCTAAACCTTTGCAAGGTATAAATGTGATACTAAAGAACTTGATGACCTCATCCTTAAAAATGAACGTGTAACAATGAGTCAACACTGCCACTTAGTGGTGAAACCGAAATGTGCTATGACACCTTCAACGGGGTGATGTAATGTCTTGAAATTCACAAGGTGAAAGAGTTCTTATTGACTGTGTGATAATTTGTAAATTAACACAAATAAATGCAAGAGATATGTCATTTGTGTCCATTTTAGTATTTACTTGCTCACCAACAGTGAGTATTGTCATCATTTAATAAAAAGTAAGCTTACCTTGGTCAAAGAATTTATGCCACACAAAAGCCAGAATGCCTTGCCTTAAACAATTGTATAGAAGAACCATTTGCAACAATAGATGTAGAGATTGACCAACATCAATATGGGTTTTCTAAGGCCGATGCAAGTTTGATTGCCCCATGGCCAATTTTTAACTAAGAAAGCAAATAAACATTGAATAGAAGTTTGGCAAGCTAATTTCCATTTTGCTAATATATTATAGATACACATTGTACGTCCTTTTCAAGCTCATAATCTGCAGACTCTGCATAATTTAGTTGAAATTAGGGCTGTCAAAATTATTGTTTTAACGCATGTTAATTACATGTTTTCATTAATTGCGTTAAAGAATAAACGCATTTGACGCATGTGCCAAATGACCCGCCCATGCATCCCATAACAACACTCAAGTGCCACGGACAAATGCCATGGATCTATTACACCTGCGTGTGTAAGATGATGACAGAGCAGGTAGGCCCTCTGGGAATTCAAGTTTAAAAAGAATACGAGCATGACCCCCTTAATCCACTTCTGGACATGTGTGATAATAATTTTAGTGATACACCATACAACACTCAAAACCTGTGAAATTACAGCCATTTCCTGCATAGAAGTGATGTTACCTCAATTCAAAATATCTCCTCTTTTTCCCTGTAAGCCTGCCTTCCCCCACCCACACGGTGACTTAGTCTCACGCTACTTTGGAGGTAAAACACATAGCATGGGACACGGTCAAACCCCGGTTATCCAAGATACCGCCCATTTCAAATTAATGGCTTGTGCTCCGTAGCGCATTGGAACATACATGGGGGCCGAGAGATTAGCAGAACTCGCTCATATTTGGGCATCGTCTGGTCCTCCCGGCCCAAAGCAGTTGACGAGCTCCCGTGATGCGGTGCACCAAATACGCGTGTGTGACTGATGCACGTGCAGAGAGGAGCACGGTGATTGATCAATCAGAGCTGCTGATGAGAGTAGAGTTAGAGTGGAGCCATAACGGGAAGAAAACGAGCAGAGTTTGGGAGATTTAGGAAAAAGAAAGTTCAGGATGAAAAGGGACATTAAAATCCCTACAACATCTGATCTTTATTTAAAGTGATAGTCTGTAACTCTAAATGAATTACAAATATTAGGAAATGTGTTAATTGACCTCCTGGCCTTAAATGTTGATATAAAATAAGTCATTTTATTAATTCTAATATTACAGGTGAGTCCCGCCTTCCCTTCTCTTAGCTATAGTTCAGAATCCATGGTGCCGTCGAGGTTAACCAATCGAGTCATGCCAAGGGCTGTCAATCATCGGGGCTGATGCTGGTAGCTGCGCGCATGCTCAGTTGTTTGTTTTCCTGTTTTGTTTGCCTCTATTAGGCTCTGGAACTACATGAAAACTGAACAAAGAATTCTGAACATCCACGCTGAGGTGCTTATGTATATTCTGAACCTATATCCATAATCAGATCCTCTGCCGATGTGTCCTATAATGTGCAATTCATGATAATAGCTTGTTCCGGGTTTGCCGCAATTTTGTGTGCATAAAAACATTATTTTTTTCATTAAAACGTTAACAAATAATTCTGAAAACATCCGTGCATGTGTATTAATAATGTATATGTATAATGTGTTCTCTGAATAACATTTAAAAGTGTTGTGGAAACGTAGGTGTAGACCAATCAGAAAGGAAGGGGGAGGGAGCTTGCGTCGTTTTTTTCAAATCAAGTACCTCTCTGTCTCTCTTTCTGACAAACTCCAGTTCAGCTCCACTTTAAGCTGTAGGTTATCTGTCAAATGAGGTTGAGCTGTTTTACTTTTTATTGAGTTCTATGGTACTTTTTTCTGGGTAGCCCACGTGAATTTAATCTGCAGTACCACCGGCGCATAATATCCAGAGGGTGCCCACCCGCCCCCTGTGCCCACCCTCTGGATATGATATTTAATTTCTGGATATTAAACATAATATCCGGATATTATAATAGATTCATGGACACGGTAAATATAGAGGGGCAAAAAAGTATTTTCAATGCAGAAAAACAACCCCAAAGCATGATGTTTCCACCCCCCATGCCTGTTGTGGACAGGTGTATTTAATACCGATAACAAGTGCAAACGGGTGCCATTAATACAGGTAACGAGTGGAGCACAGAGGAGCCTCTTAAAGAAGGTGTTGCATGTCTGAGAGGCAGAATTTCTGGTTGTTTGTAGGTGACCAAATACTTATTTTCCACCAATTTTTTTCATTCTGTCACTCATAGGTGAGGTATACCTATCATGAAATTTTCATCACAGGCCTCCCTCACCATTTAAGGTGGTGGGCGGACTTTGATGCTAGGATTTATTATTACCCCATGGATTTATTATACTATTACCCGGTACTTACGTTTCAGCCAACACGTTAGCAGCACTGGTTTACAGTCACGGAAGAATGAAAACTCAGGCTGGAGGCATACAGTATAAGATAAGAATTCCTTTATTTGTCCCACAGTGGGGTAAATTCGATGTTGCATCGCACAAATAGGACAGTAGTAAGAGCACACAGGGATCACACACAATATATACACTATATACAAATAAGTAGTAGCTATGTTTCTTAACTAACATAGCTAGCTGTAGATGCTGAAAAAGTATGTTCACAAGCACTGTTTCCCCCATTGTCACCCCTGATTTAACAGTTGTTAAATCCTGCTTTGGCTCATGCCAACAGCCAAAACATTTGGCTCATGTTTTGGCTGTTTTGACCGGCTTGTGTCCTTGTGACCACTTTGCGGGTCTCTGATTGGCAGTGTTGTGCGTGAACGAGTTCAAAAGAACGCGTACATTGAACACGCTCATTTTTTGTTAACGTTGAACTGAAGGCAACACATTTTTTAATAAAGAACTTGAACGTGATTTAGTTCACATTATGCGTCATGAATCACTGTAAATGAACGTTGGAATTTTTTTTCCATTGAAAACTGAGTGAAATCTATTTTCTCTTTTGAAACGGAACAAGTGAAAGTTCCTCCCTCCTGTATTCTCCGCACTTTTTCCACCGAAAATTTAAAATTCCCACGGTTTCCACCGTCTGTGAACGCACTGCGACTCTGTGTTGTGGTGCGGCGCTGTGTGCTAGTCATTTTAATGGGTCGCTGGACTCACATGTGCTTGAGTGGTGATAAAAACAGAGGGTGAGTTAGCAACACAGGGTCGTTTACATTTGGCATAAAGTATAGACACACGTACTGCAGCGCATTACTGTTCGTAGTACTCATGAGCAGAGATGGGACAACTCAGTTTGGCTTCCACTGAAAACCATGTAAATCTTGTCTGTTTTGGAGTCAAAAGGCACTCATCCTGTGCTGTGTACATTATATTTATTATTTATTATATGCAATACCAAAAGTTGTTTTTAGCTATGTCTGTGCTAATATAACTACTTCTAGTCCAATACAAGATCCATTTTGAATTAGCAAAAAATATTCTTCTTTACATTTACAAAAGATAAGTTCCAAATATTGTCCATTGATTCAAAAGACCTGCAATAATAATAATGTAACTTACCAGTCATTTTGTATCCACTTGCGGCTAGCTGTCCAGCCATGTACTCGCCATCTGAATTGTTATGGCTGCAGCCCCAAGTTTTCATCCATATCTTTTGAGTACCAGGAATTAAACTGAAAATTGAAATATAAGACGTTAGTAAGAGAATGAGTGGAAAAAGCCATACCCCTGAAAAAAAAAAAAAAATCTTATTGACATGGCTCATAGGGAATTATTGAGTTAATTCAATCATTTGATTAGAAACAAGTTTTGACTATTTGATAACACTGTTTGACACACAACTAATTGCAGAACTTATTTCACATGGAGCCGTTTCCATATGCAGCCCACATTGCACTGAACGTGACATAACTCGAGGTGATCACAACGCACCAAGGGGTAAAAAGAAATTTGGTCAAAATGTCATCTCTGTAAGAGAAACGCAATCCTGAAACAAGTTACCATTACACATCAGAAACTGCAAAAACTACTCACTTTATTATTTTTTTTAAATCTCAAACATTGACAGCTTAAATGCTGTTCTCAAGCTGATGCTTGTTCCCTTTTGGTCTCTTGTTCTCTTGTTCTCTAACTGGGTTAAAACTGTCTGTTTTATCTTGTCGGTCTGTGTCTGCTTGATATTGTCTGTCTGTGTTCTGTTATTAATTTATTCATGTGTGATCTGTTCATTTCTTTTGTGTCTGTTACCTTGGAACGTGGACTACGACTGAAATTTAGCAGTTATGGTAAGTCCGGCGCATTTACACTGACACTTAAGGCATCAATGTTGATGAATGGATATTTAGTTAAACTTTTAAAACTTTTAAGATTTCTGTGATGCAAGCAGGGGAAAGAGTCCATCTCAAGGTTGAATAAAACCGAGGACGTTCTTGCATTGTCATTATTAAGTCAAATGCAACAACTAATACACTTTTATGATTTAATGGAATATGGCACAAGCTCTTAACTTTCCCCATTACATTTGCTTTTCACACATTCCCCACTTTTAATAATTACAAAAACCCAAAAATTCTGGCAGTGATCACACATTGAACAAACCTGTCCACTTGAATCTCTTCATTCATCAGTGGCTCCATCTTCTTTCTGGACCTTGGTATGATGCTCTTACGAGCTGACTGCCTCTCCTGAGGTGTGGGATCATTGGAGGAAACCATGTCCTCAATGTCCTCTATCAAAGATTCACTGGCTGACGGCATTGTAGGTCCTATGAGAAAATCCATATGTCACAGTAAGATTTTTTTATTCACAACTGTTAAAGATGGAATAAAGTCTTAAGTAAAAGTGTGGCTGCATGTTTTTTTCTAAATAACTCACTCTTTCTGTCAAACATAGCGATTGTGATTCAATTTACAATACAATAAGTCTGATTGAAGTGATAAGCTAATCATTTAAAACTGCCAAACATTTTAGAAGATCGGTCTACTATAATACAAAATAAATATTTCAGTAAAAAGAGATATGTTGCAAAAGATTATGAAGTATCACTTAAAATATAGATAAGAAAATCAATGTATGTTGTAATCACAAAAAGAGAGAACGTGAACACGTGCCTGATTCTTAGATGCTTTTAACTTTTTTTGCTACAGTACAGTACAGTGCAGTACATCATCTCCCTCCTTTACAACCTACAGAAAATAGAACCGAATATTACTAAATATATTAAAAACAGTAAATAATGATCATACATGTAGACGGGGCTGGAGTGCTTCTTGGATGTAAAAATTAAATGAGGAAAAAAGTGAGGAAAAAAGTAAACTTATGGTGCTCTTCAGTGGAGGGACCAATGTTGATAGTTCTGACAGAAGACTGAGGCACTCAAAAGTTACAAAAATCTTTAAAAGCCTTTATTTGACATGGCAAAAAGAGGTTAAAATTACGCCTACGCGTTTCAGCCTTCTGGCCTTCTTCAGGGCATACTCGAGAGGAGTGTCTCAGTACAGATTTAAAGAGAATGGTGCTTGTCACATGGTCAGTGGGCGGGCCTACAGTCACAAGGTTTAAAATCTGGAAAAATATTGAAACTCCCAAACAAAGTGCATAATATTATGTACACACCTAGACAAAGACACAAAGAATACAATATATAAGAAATATAATCAATGGTCTTTTTTGAAAAGTACTTAAAGAAAAGGAGAATAGTCCAACTCCCCATTTAAGCCTGGGAATTGAGTGGCTTTTAAAGTATATATCCAGTAGGACTCTCTTTGAAGTAATGTCTTGAGTCTATTTCCTCCTCTTATTGTCTCTGGAATATGCTTGAGTGTCCCTGCGGCCGCTTCTATGTAGGCCGTACAAAACGGAAACTGAAAAACAGACTGGCCGAACACAAGCAAGCTATAAGGACAAAAAACCCACAATATCCAATGGCTCTACACTACAGAGACTCCAACCATGGAAGTTGCAGTAGCCTGAAGATCTGTGGCATTGAGCATATTCCAGAGACAATAAGAGGAGGAAATAGACTCAAGACATTACTTCAAAGAGAGTCCTACTGGATATATACTTTAAAAGCCACTCAATTCCCAGGCTTAAATGGGGAGTTGGACTATTCTCCTTTTCTTTAAGTACTTTTCAAAAAAGACCATTGATTATATTTCTTATATATTGTATTCTTTGTGTCTTTGTCTAGGTGTGTACATAATATTATGCACTTTGTTTGGGAGTTTCAATATTTTTTCCAGATTTTAAACCTTGTGACTGTAGGCCCGCCCACTGACCATGTGACAAGCACCATTCTCTTTAAATCTGTACTGAGACACTCCTCTCGAGTATGCCCTGAAGAAGGCCAGAAGGCTGAAACGCGTAGGCGTAATTTTAACCTCTTTTTGCCATGTCAAATAAAGGCTTTTAAAGATTTTTGTAACTTTTGAGTGCCTCAGTCTTCTGTCAGAATGATCATACATGTTTACTGAATGTCAAATGATGTCTTTTGGCACTCAACTATTTTCTATCCTTATTAAAGAAAATGGGTCGGTCTATGAAGGGGTTATTTTAGATTCTACTGCTATGAGATGATAAGTATACACTTTATCGGCTCTCTCCTCATTCATGACGATGGTGTTACCTCACTGGTAGGTAGAAAATGCCATAACGTGGAGCATCCCAGGCATACCAAAAAAGCACATCCTACGCCAAAAAGGTTGCGTAGTACATATATCTTATCCTTATGTTGTCAATGACCTTATAGGAGAAAGAAGCCACATCTAGCACTATGCCAGTTAACGCGTTTTCTAAGAGGAGCTATAAAAGGTAATTTTCACCCCAATGATAAATAATCCACGGCAGACTATATGGCCGGTGGCATTTTGACAAGATAAACAAATCTGCGTTTAAAAGAATAGAGTAGACCAAGCATGCTAACAGCTAGCTAGCTTAATACTAGCACGTTATGGGATATATCGCTGTGGTCAGCACGTGCGCATGCTGATGTAATAAGCGGGAGACCAATGGGTTTTGTTTTTCAATGTATACAAAGTGTACCTGTTAATGGCGTATCTGGTCAGTAATGTAAGAAGAAACAAAGTCTTTGAAATCCACAGGTCTGATCACAACAACGCCATGCTTGTTCCTGGATCTAGTATCGTGTGCAGAAAGGGACAATTTTAGTCAGTGCTCTGTGCTGCTAGACAGAAAGATATTTCTTTCCAAGCCTGGTCTTTCCATACCATCGAACGGATTTCACTTCACCGGAGTTTTTTGGATTGCCAAGCTACTTCATTCCCTGTTCATTGCCCGTATCATTTTGTCTAGTTACATGTAACGCTACATTAAAACAAATTATAGGACATTACATGTGTATTTTGGTAGGGCCTTTATTCAAAATTACAAACATACAAAACTCTTTCCCCACCAGTACTTTCAAAATAAACTGAAATGCAGCGTGAAACAGATGTTAAAACACATTTGAATGCATAACGTACAAATATTTTACCTCATAGCCTACTCAATACAATAACAATCACTCAATCATTTCCCATATAGGCTGTGACAGATGTTTCAAAATGGTAACATTAAAATGTCATGTTTACTTTTCAAGTTGTAAATAAGCAGTTAGTGGAAAAAATGCGTTTCATGGAATTTGGTAACAGCTTAAACTTATAGGGAAAATGCCAGAAAATTATTTCGCAATACACTCAAGACACATTCATTTATGATCCAAATGCCAAAATTGCCAATTTAAGAGGATCTGTAAATACAATTCATTCATTACATTTTCAGAATCTGTCAGACTATGGCTAATGTAGGCATCTTCTCTGCAGAAACATAACATTAACATTGTATTAACATTTGGAAAGGTATAATCTCTCCAGAAATTACAGTCAAAGCAAGACATTATGGCCAGATTCTGGCTGTCAAAAAAAAGAACCAAAAAAAAAGTAAGGAGGTGGCTTCACAAAATAGCATCTGTGGCTAGTTCAATGGGGAAGAATACTAAACTTTATATAAATACAAAACAGTTATAAATATGTCTGCAGTAAAAAATATGTGAACAAGTTTTCATTCTAGTCACCATTCAAGCAGTGGTATAATTTCTGTCGTCTTTGACAGTACACCAAAATTAGTGCACTTGGGAGAAAAATGAAAAACTGAGATTTAACACACAGTGTCACAAGTAAAAGGTCCCCACAGTCAGAAACCCTGTGCTCGATGTTCATTATGGCCTCGTCTCAAAGAAGCTTCCTGGACTCTTCTACTCATTCAGCAGTAGCAATCAGCTAAAGCTTCCTCATCTGCTTTTCACCACAGCAATTCTTTTCCCAACCCACTTCTGCTATGTGTCTTTGCATTTATGGGTGTATGACTAATGTTTATTCATGATAAAATATAATTTTTTAAAGAATTTAAGTTTGAGTTAGACGTTATTTGGTATTTTGGGGAAGGTGCTGATCATGTCTGGGTAGAAATGAGTTGGGAAAACAAATGCTCTCTATGCTCCTCCTCTGTAGGTCAAACTTCCCTACACATTTCCTGTAAATAAAAATAAAAAATGGATGAATCAAGGAGGAAGAATCTTTGAGACGGTGCCCATGATTCAAGACTGCTGGAAGACATTTGAAAAATTAATCCAAACTGTTTGTGAAAATGTTTAGATTGAATACATCTTCAGGAGAGTAAATCATTTAAAATTTCAATAATACAAAAACAAACAAATGACACAACGCATCTAATTAAACAGTTAAAATAAACTCCTACATCTGCCCTGTCCCTCAATGCCTCGCTCTAAATGTAGTTAGAGGTAGCCTACAGTACCGTGGGCACTGAGAAATTAGCAAACTTTACATTTTCCCATAGCCAGCAAACAGTGGCAGGCTAGGTCCATCATTGAAAATCTCACATGCTTTAAATACACATCATTAAGTGTTGGCTAAAGTTATCCAGCAGCACTGTGCCCTCTGGGGCAGTTTAAGTGGTGTTGATGTTAATTATGGTTACTGCAAGTGTTACTCTCCATGTAATATGATTTAGCACTTTACTTTTTTCCCATGACTACTCAAACAATGAGATGGAAAATGCAGAAGGACCATTTTTCAGAGATAAAATGGAGATCACTGGGGGGAGATCCTGAGTCCTATTTTTCTCTTACTATTACAGTGTGTAAGGTGCATCAAAATAGACCAACATATTTGACACATTGTTATGCACAGCACAAGCCAATGGAAACTGATGCCGATTATTAAAAAAGAAATAGGGGCTCAATACAACAGCAAACGTTTAGCTCGGAACTAGGCAGGTCTACAGGTACTACTGGTGTTTTTTTTTAAATGTTTTTAGCCCAATATCACCAACATTCTCACAGACTAATTTGTGTGGTACATAAATAATTCAACTTAACTTGTTTCCCCTTATAATGATGAAACTATTTTGATGGTTGTGAATCAAGATACAGATATTTCATGCCGGGTAAATAGTACATTATAAACACTGACATTAGATAAATGTTAAAATGCACTAGACCAGTTCAAGCTCTTAACTAGCATTGCCTCTTGAAGTTTTGCACAGTTGGTAACATCACAGAGGCCACATAATATTGTACAAATTACACAAATATGTTGGCGTCTTGTTTGGCTTCAGATTAAAAACTAACATTGGTCGTTATATTATTCATGTACCGTGCGCCTGAGATAAACATTTATAAAACTAGTGATCAAGGTGAAAAGTTCTTATTCGGGTGGCAACAGACAGCCGACAACATGCATTTGTCAACCATTAAAGCAAACGCTAGCTGCATAGAAGATCATCAAGAGAAGGCATCCTATCGAAGTCATCAAACAAGTCACTGATTCCCTGGCCATCTCCCAAACCTAACAAGTAGTCATCCTGGTCCAGAAGTGTTGGGCCAAGACTTAGGAAGGGTCCTAGTGCTGATGGCATCTGGTCTTCAGTCTGTTGAAGCAGACTGGTGAAAGGAGATGAGATGGGGGACAGGGTTGTGACGGACACAGCAGAAGCAGGTGGTGGAGCCAAAGAAGAACCGGAAGAAGCAGTTGCATTTGAATCTGAAAAAGTAAAAACAGCTGTAGGAAAATGAAATAACATGGTGCAATCAAGCCTTTTGTTGGAATTATGTTGAACTCTGTGTGAACAGACTTATCATCCAAGTTCCCGTATTTGTGGATTAACCAAGGCAGCTCTTTCAGTTCACAAACGCTCTCCATCCAACCTCACTGAGCTCAAGCTGTCTCCAGTCTCTCGATGTGCAAAACTGATAGAGACATACCCCAAGCGACTTGCAGCTGTAATTGCAGCAAAAGGTGGCGCTACAAAGTATTAGCGCAAGGGGGCCGAATAATATTGCACGCCCCACTTTTCAGTTTTTTATTTGTTAAAAAAGTTTAAATTATCCAATAAATTTCGTTCCACTTCACGATTGTGTCCCACTTGTTGTTGATTCTTGACAAAAAAAAATATTTTTATATCTTTATGTTTGAAGCCTGAAATGTGGCGAAATGTTGAAAGGTTCAAGGGGGCCGAATTCTTTCGCAAGGCACTGTAATTAAGACAATAATACTTGTGAAAGTAATTCCCCATATCTGTGGTGCACGAGCACCTCTTCACGCACACACACAAGCGAAGGCCAGTACCTAGAGGAAATCTATCGCTTGAAACTCCCCACAAAGACAGACACCACTTACACCAACATTTTCTGGGGGAAATCCAATGTTCACAAGACTGCGTCGGAATATCATATCAATTCCAATCCACATAAATAGCATATTTTAACAGCTAGATGTTTCCAAAGTGCTGCACTCAAGACCCAGTTGTCAAACAAGCCAATAGTTCTCAGAGTTAGTAAGGAGCTTGTAGAACAAGACTGCATGTTTCCTTTAGTTAATATTCTGCCACATGTATAAATGTAGTTATTTTTTCTGAAACCTGATGCTACATGATGGGTTACCTCATAGCACCTCATTGCCAAGATTATTGAGGTTCCTATGCAAAAAGGGCTAAAAATTAAGCAAAAAAGTTCCTTAATCTGACTGCAATGTCCGTAAGAACCACCGGCATCCGGGTCAATAATATCCTACGTGCAGTTACCATATACGGAACATTGGCATCAGATGATTCTCTTATTTAGTTTCCACATGTGTGCTCTTAGCATGGAGGGACACAGGTAACAAAATAACCCCCTACTGAAGAGTACAATTGAAACTAGTCATGTTTTCAACCATAATAAACTTGCTAAAAATGCTGTAATGTTTATAATTTACTGTGCAATTTCAATTCAATTTAACTTGAACTGAGTTTGCGCCAATGCAGACATGTTTCTGTGTGAAAGCAGTACGAAAATACAGTCATATAGATATTAACCAATTCATTGAGGTAACACAATTGTAATCTTAGATTTTTTTTTATTAATTAATTTGACTGAACGTTTCAGCCATAGACATAAAGGAAGTCCTAATTCTGGAAATAATCTCCACTGATTAAGGGTAATAATGCTCCACTCAAAATGCCAGTATTTAAACATTGCATTGCTAAACATTGCTTCTTGACCAACCGCAGCAGCAAATATTAGCCTACAGTCCTTATTTATGGTAGTGAGCCACTTAAAGAATAATGGTTGTTCATCTGGGAAGCAGTTGTGATGCAAAAGCAACAATTTAACATTTACCTTGAAGAACTTTAAGAAAGGGTGAATTCCCATTAATGTCCATGTTGCAGCTTTTGATGGGGCTTCGAGGATCCAGTTCTTCATCCGGACATAGCAGCACGTCAATTGGGCCTTTGGTGCTTGTCAGATGGATGGATAAACTCTGGGAACATACACATAATTTTAAAAAGCAGAAAAGATCCAAATATATCTAGGACATAATTCAGAAAGTATATGAGAACTACTTTAGGAACCAGTACATATTCCTGTTTAGATCTAATAAACAAAAGGCAAATATATTTAAATCTTTGTCTAGCATGTTCAGCAGTACGATTTCAAACATTTAAATAGTATATTTAAATTTTGTGCAGCACTGGGCTGTAGCTAAAATTTGGCTTAGTGCTCAAGGTATAATGAAAGCACTAACATTAGATTAGGAGGCTATGTAGTCAAACAATATTTAATAGTGTAAATGCATACCTCATCTGGATCTGGCACTTCTAGTTTAGTATCTGAAGGAGCTTTGACCACAATGACCGTCTGATCCTTCAGACTTCCTATCTGCTTGATGTCTTGATAAGTTACATATGCATATGTGAAAGTAGGAAGTTAGGGAAAATACAATTAAAGTGATTGTCTGCAATTTGTCAGAAAGAGAGAGAGAAGTACTTGATTTGAAAAAAAAAAAACGACGCAAGCTCCCTCTCCCTTCCTTTCTTTCTGATTGGTCTACACCTACGTGTTATTTGTTATCGTTTTCATGAAAAAAATTACGTTTTAATGCACAAAAAAAGGATCGCGGCAAACCTGGAACAAGCTATTATCATGAATTGCACATTATAGGACACATCTGCAGAGGATCTGATTATGGATATAGGTTCAGTATATACATAAGCACCTCAGCGTGGATGTTCAGAATTCTTTGTTCAGTTTTCATGAAGTTCCAGAGCCTAATAGAGGCTTGATTCGGAGGCTGCGCGAAAACAAACAACTGAGCATGCGCGCAGCTACCAGCGCTGATGATTGACAGCCCTTGGCATGACTCGATTGGTTAACGTGGACGGCATTGTGGATTCTGAGCTATAGCTAAGAGAAGGGAAGGCGGGACTTAACTGTAATATTAGAATTAATAAAATGACTTATTTTATATCAACATTTAAGGCCAGGAGGTAATTTTACTACAATTCTTAAAATTTGTAATTAATTTAGAGTTACATACTAAATTACTAGAGTACATGTAAACTACTTTACATGTACTCTAGTTTCCTGATTAGGATTTGTAGTCTGCTGGTTGTACATATGTCAATGTAAAGGCAGTATTATTAATATGAAAAACAGATCTACCAGTTGGAAGGAATTTTACATTAAAAAACAGCACGGATGTATATCTTGGGGCTTCTAAAGCTCTTATCAAACTGTTTTTGATACAGATACTCAAGTGAATGTTAGAATGTAAAATGATTATTAACATTAGAATATGTGAAAAATGAAAGGTTCCCATAAGGTGCTGACAGTGTTCTCTGATTCCTTGTTTTTTTGACACTGGAATACAACAGACTTTTGTATAACTTTACAAGTACACAACTTATTTGGAAGACAACTAGTGACAAACTGACTCACAATACACTAGCTATGTTGACACGTAAGGAAATGCGCTTTGTATGATCAGTGTTTGGCCAGGTGAGGGGCTTGTGCATTTGATCAGATTCAGATTAATTTATTTGCCAATTGCAGTCGTGAGTCGCAATTTGTGAGCATAAACAGCTGACAAATATGAAAAGGATATTTCTGGTTGCTATGCGATTCACTCATGTGCCTCATATCTATAGAACATCTCTCGATCAGCTGTTGAAGTCTTTTTTCCTCTTCTGCTAAAGCTTCATTTTCTGCAGTTAGGTTCTGTCTTTGGCACAGTGCTCCTTCTACCTCCAGCAGGCTGCATCCCCTGTGTCAAAAGGGGCAACAAATCTGATGAAAAAACTAACTTCACACAGGACCTTCCTTTACTCAAAGATATAAACACTTACATCCACTGAATGTTGTTTTTGGACTTCTTTTTGATGAGATGAATACCCTCCAAGACATTGGTAATGTCATACAGGCGTCTTTTCTGGACCTGTTATTGAGAGAGTATATTGTTACAAAAGCCTAGATTTGGGCAATAATATTAAAACAATCTTCACATTACCTGTAATGTTTCGGCCGCAATGTTAAGGTCCAGCACTCCATCAGACGATTGAGCTAAAAGATCTACAAACTTCTTGGTTAATAACCCCAGAGAAGTGTCATAACGAGTCTTCTCTGGTGGAGACTTTGGTGCTAAAATGCAACAAAAGGGGAAAGAAATGAGCAGGTCTGCTGTAACAGACATAATTAAGAGAAACACAGACAATGAACGCTACGAATTCAAGAGTAACATACTTCTGGGAGTCTTTAGGCTCCCTCCATTTGAGGATGCTCCTCGGCCTCGCGGTGTTCGGACTACATCAGACTGGTATTGGTGATCAGAGTCATCTAATGCAAGTCGTCTTTTAGCCTTCAAAAGACAACACAATGTGTCATTCTCAGTTCCAGACTGATAAACTAAAAAATATATACAAGGATTCCAAAACAACTGCATTTACCAATACATTTTATTGATGGTATTATGCCGTGGTACCACACTGTTAAAGTCATTGTATGAACTTTGCATTCTTAATTTCTAATGTAAATATGGTTAATTTTGACCCTTGAGAATCAGACTTGAAACATTTTGTTTTAAGTAACAGGGAATATTTGCTTTCATTATCTGTAGTAGATACACAGTACACTGACTTGAAACAGTTGTCATTTTATTAAGCAAAAGATGTTGATTCCAATTTTCAGAAAGCTACAACATGCCCTTTGACAGTCAAAAATGTCAGCCATTTTGCGTGTGCATGCAGCTCCCCTCACCCCATGCCTGGTCATGGCTTCAATCCGGCTGGTTTTGATCATGAAAGATGAATAGCAGAAACTAAACCAAGACTCTGAATGTCTTTTGCACGATTAAGCTTACTTTGCAGCAGCAGTGTACAGAAAATTCACAAGTACATTCGGGTATGACTGCAGTTCAAGTATGCAACATAAGAGTTTCACTTGAGTCTTCTCCAACTGTGTCTAGGTAAATTATTAAATTGAGGCAACATTGTTATGACATCCTTTAATAAAAGTGCTTCGCATTGAGGGCTATACTAGGTTTAAAAGTCCATCTAAGCTGACTTGCATCTTCAAAGACGATTGTGGCAATACTAAACTTAAGTGAATGTCCTGCATCGAGTACAAGCATGGTTAGTGTTACTACACTGTTTATTCAGGAAAGCTTATAATGGTTAAATGTGTGGATCAAGGAACATTTGAGGGCAAAAAAACAACCCTACCCCCAAATTAAGAGAGCAAATAGCAGCCACTAGGCCAGCGCTAATGTTACTCATATCTTAACCAGGGTTACCATCTGCAAGGAAACACAAAAGCATCACAAAGTTAGCTTTGCGTGACAAACTAGCAGTGCGGCGCTTCTCTCGCCTGGAACCCAACAAACAGCAATTGTATGTGACTGATTGCCAATGCATGTTGTAGAATGATAGCTTTAACTAAGCCAGCGGTAGTTCTCCAGCTAAGGTTGGGTCGATGCTAAGCGGCTAGCTGCTCGAACAACAAGCTGTTAGCCGAGCGGGCTAACACTTGGTTTTGTTTGTGGCTAACGATAGCACTGAAAAGCCTTTAATAGACGTTTACCGGTGGTCTTCCTAGAGAGGGTCGTTGTCCTGTCCCGTTTGCAGCAGCTTGTTGTGGAGTTGTATAAATGTTGTTTATCTGAGGCTCTGATAAACACACATTAGAAGTATGTGCACCATTGCAAGGCGGTGGGGTCGTAATTATTTGAATATAAGTTGCATTAGATTGTCCAGGATTTAAACGATCCGATAAAGTTGTTAAAATTATATTATTGTCCAAATGAGAGCCTCCAACCCCAGCTAAAATCACTTTATCCGGAGCCGAGGAGATCCCTCTTCTCATCTTGCGTATTCGGGGTAACCTCTTTCTCGTCCGTGTATTTCTAAGACCGTATTTCTACTTATCCAAAGCAAAAGGTAAAAAAATAATCAGACCAAAGTACACTCTAAAGTCTGATTTATCGGCTATGGTCATGTATTTTTTCCTGTAGACGTGCATTTAGGCAGATGCAACGGATTAAAAAGTAGCGCAACTCTCGTTTGGCCCGTCTAGAAATGGCTTCAGGAAACGGCCTGATGAATGAAGGGATACGGTTTACGCGCTCAAGAGCCCTCCCGCGAAACTCGGATTTCCCGGGAAATTTTCAAACAATATTTACATGTTGAGTGTGATTGGCTATTTGTTCAGAAGATTACGCCCATACTTGTTGAATTGTACCCAATGACAGCGCCGTATTTTGACCGCCACGTGTTCATTGGCTTTTGTAAACAGCCCGCGCTCCTGCTACACCTTTGCTGTTGGCCCCAGCTGACACTAGATGGCGCAATTTACCAACAAGAGAAACGGATCAGAGAAGAGATAGTGGATATATTATTTTTAAATCCAGCCTTTTTGTAACGAGACTATAATCACACATTCATAAACTGCGTTTAAAGTGAAAGACTCTACCTGAAACTAATTTAGCAGTTAGTTAATTTATACAAACAAATTGTGAATATCACGAATATTGTCACTGTATGCGTTGTTATTCTTGCGTAAAAATGTATTCACAAGTTTATATAATATTTCAAATATGCTGACAGAGCCTTTAAGTCTACAAATAAAAAGTTAAATAAACAACTTTATTATTTTTTCTCATGAAGTCTATTTGATTTGTAGTCTAAGCTGTAAAGGCGTTTTATTGTTCCAGAGGCTACATTTTAGTTCAGTGTAGCCAAATTATGTTTTATCCCTACAGCAGTCTTCTCTTTACAAATGTAATTCAGATTTATCAACTTGTATGGTTTTACCCTAATGTCATTCTTTTAACAACAAAAAATGTATGTACGTCTAGAAAATACACGTATATATGCAGGGCGCTTGTTTGTAAAGCTTTATTGTTTCGTTATTATTGGTCTTGTTTTCGTTTTGTTCTGTTTGCTGATATCTGACACCGGAAATTCAACAAACATTCACACAATTAAACTGCAAACTTTCTGCGTACGAGTTCAAATTCAGAACTCACATTACACACTCTCATGTGATATTTAGCACCGACGACCCCACACGGTAAATATTTACAAACTCTGTCATGACAATCTGTGCAAACCTTTATTTTGAAATCTGGACCATGATCAAGAGAGGAGGAGAGACGCCTTCTATCCTAACAAACTACGTGAGGTGAATTGGTCCGAGTCTGGTCCGAGTCTGGTCTACAGTAGGTTATAGGAAAGTTTGCCGCTGTCTTTAGGTTTGATGGAGAATTTAGTCAAAGTGGGTAGGAACAATTTTACATGAAAAATATTAGTGATGGACGATACGATGGAGGCGTCTTTCAAAAGCACGGGTGCACTATGGCTTCTACCTCTGAGTGAATACTCGGGCTTCCCCGTGGATCAGGTAAGGCTATTAACGAAACTGTCTGAACATGCCAACTACAGGAATAGCCAGTACACAATTGAACTAATTTGTGCTGTTATAGTTCTCAATCTATATATATATGTTGTTGCTTTTTTCCTCAGTCTCCTGTCTCTATTTCACTGTTCTCTACTTAAACTCATTTATTTTTATTTTTTAATCATTTGGCTACTTAAACGTGTAATTCTGGGATGCAATTAATAGACCTAACCTTCCCCTTTAGTATTTCATTTCTGGGTTGGGGGGTGGCAATCAGAGCTACCACCCAATGCTCAAAGCCCCAGTCCTATGCTGATCTTCCTGCTGGGGGTGGGTCCACAGGATGATAGCTTCTCCATCATCGAAGTTACGGCCATGGTCTTTCAGCGGGGGCTCCAGGCAAAGTGGGGTTAAGTGTCTTGCCCAGCGACACAACGACAGCAGACGTCAGTGGGAGATGACGGGGGTCGTGGAGGGATCGAACCCCCGACCATTAGGTCCAAAGAGTCTTGGCTCTAGCAACTGAGCCACTGTCGCCTCTCATAGTAGACCATATTATGTTGATTTGTTATGGCTCTTATAAATAGTATACTTTACTTTGATCTACAGGTGAACTTTATGGCAAGTCAGCTGTTTGCACTGGTAGCTGCCTTCTGGTTTCGTCTCTACCTCAGTCCTACCCACACCAACCCTCTTGTCAGACACGCCGTGGCTGCTCTCTTCGGCGCCGCCATCCTCATTTTCTGCTTCGGATGGTACAAAATCCGCACACACACACACACACACACACACACACACAACACACACACACACACACACACACACACACACACACACACACACACACACACACACACACACACACACACACACACACACACACACACACACACACACACACACACACACACACACACACACACACACACACACACACACACACACACACACACCACACAACACACACACACACCCACACACACACACACACACACACACACACACACACACACACACACACACACACACACACACACACACACACACACACACACACACACAGTCCATTTATTTGTCATATGATGCTAAATCTAATATGCACACCTCATTACCCAAGGCATTTGTTAAATACATAGGATTGTCCTGACTGGCTGCATTATTTAGGGAAAGACTGGCAGTGTGTGGAGAGTAACAGATGTGTTTGCCTCTGCAGGTATGCCTCGCACATGCTCATGGTAGTATTAGTGAGCTATCTGATCATTATTAAAAGTGACATCGACAATGTACACAGGTGAGTGGAAAGTAAAATACAACCTCATTCTATACCTTTTCCAAAAAAACGACCTCCCTTATCTCCGGACTCCCAGTGGGTTTGAGTCTGTGGTGTAACTCGTGCTGGCCATTGATCACTCCACAGTCAAAGAGTTTCATTCAAAGTCAATTAAATGAAGCACATTCTATCCACATCCTTTCCTCGATTGGTCGTCCGTGTTTCAAATGTCCTATTTTCTTTCAATCATTTATAAACCTGGTTGAGATCTGGCGGTTTCTAAGTTGTGTGGTTGTAAATGGTATTTCCCACACAATTCTTAATGACATGTAATCTGGTGCCAACACTCGATGCACGCAAAAACTCGATCGACATGATCCGGCAAAATATTTTGTCTTCATAAGTGTGTGGTAGGAATGGAGGTAGCGCAATCTAAAATATGAACTATTTGTGTGCCACCTCCAAGGGTTTATGTCCTCCTAAAGACAGAGCCACAATGAACATGTGGCTATTTTACAGGCTGATGCGAATTGTACATATCGCAAAATAATACAGAAAATTAGAAAACATGTTATACACTTTTACCGTGCCTTTTACTGTCATCTTAGCTGTATTTTTATCTATTTAGATATTGACAATTTTTCTAATCAACAATATTCTTCGTGTTTTTTTCCAACAGGTATACAATGGTGTGGGCCATAGGCTACCTCACAGCCTGCCAAGTGATTCGAGTCTATATTTTCAACTACGGAATTCTGTCCACAGACTTTTCTGGGTAAGAGGAATCCATTTCTACGTAGCTTTATCCTAACTTCCTAAACCACGCCTTTAAAGAACAGCTCATGAGTCACAGCACTGTGCACATACCTCACCAGTCAACAGAAGGCTGCATTGTTCATCACCATTGACCTAAGAAAGTGCAATTGGGAAAGCTGCCCCTTGATTTCACCTCAAGGCTGTATTTTATAGCACTTGATAAAAAGTTGGGGTTTTTTCCCTCAGGAATGGTATGGTATTAAATGACATTAAAGAGAGAAGGGCAACTTCAATACTGATTTGTATTCTCCATATCCTTCTCAAAAGTAATTGTGAAAAATGTGAAATGTTGTCGCTTTATTAATGGCTGGTTTAATATTCAGATGACTGAGCAGAGAATCATCCTATCAGACCCCAGTTACCTCAGTCAGTAGTTCTTTATTCAGAAAATCTAATTAAACCAGTGCATCCCACGACAGTCCTACTGTTTAGTAAATAACTCCTTCCCCTGTTGAGCAGTTGAAGCATCCTGGCCGAGGCTCTGTCTCAGTAAACTGGTGCCAGCTCTCATTGAGCTGCTGCTTTGCCATGCACTGCACAGACCAAACTCAGCATGTGCAAAGCCTCAAGTTCTTACGACAGAGCAGTTAACTGTTTCACAATCTCCTGAATAGTTGTTGTTCTGTTGTTGTTTTTTGTCTTTAATAATACCTCTCTGTCACCTCACCCCAGGCCTCTGATGGGGGTGACCCAAAAACTTACCTCTCTTGCTTTTCAACTCCATGATGGTGAGTGACAGTCCTTATCATCTGGTGCACACTGGGGTAGTCTTGCACAGTTTTTCCAATGTGGTTTTACTGCAAATGGCAAATAAATGAATCTGAATCTGAATCATGCATGCAGAACTGTAACAAATGATCTTTCAGACTCAGAAGGTGTGATGTGTTTTAGGCTTTTCAAGATTTGTGCGATTAATTCAAATGAAAAAAGAAGTAAAGAATCACATTTTACTTATTGACAAAATACATGATATCCATTTCCCTTTGACCTAACACTGGTGTCTCCTCCATCGCTGGGATTTTGTCATGTTCTTGATAACTGGACCTCTACATCACATAAACCTAAAAGGATGAAGAAACTGCAGGAGAACAGAGGAAGGTTACTGAAGGTCAATTGTCTTTCCGGTGGTGGAGGTGAATAACCAAACTAAAAACATGCAATTGGAACACGGCGTAACAAGTTCTTGTCATGCCACTCCGCTGGAAAGACTAGACTGACTGCAGTGATAGTTGTCCTATAATTCTAGCCATCAGTCTGCAGTTTCTAGAATGTTCCTTGCCTATCCTCCACTTTATTGTATTGTTTCTTCAGAGATCATTGTCCAACATCTATATGTAAAATGCTTTCCATGAATCCTGTTTTTCAGGAATGCATAAGAATCCTGACAAACTAAGGCCAGAACAGAAGCGACTGGCTGTAAAGTAAGGTTGATTTATTTTATCTAACCTTTATTTAACCAATATTTATATAAAATATCAATGTATTACCTGTGATTTGTCGTCTCATTTGTCTTCTCTTTAGAAATATCTTATCTTGTTAGGTTATCTGAGTTCAGATAATAGATTGTATTCCTCTGCCTTTGTACTCTCTGCTTGCTCTTCAAGAAAATGAAATCTGATTCAAAGCTTGCAACGTTTAAATCAGCAGTATATAACATTTTCTTTCCCTTTAGCCCCGATGGACACACGCATGGAGATGCACATATGGTGAATTACTTCTTGTCAAAAGCATTTGCATGAAACCGCATGAAAATAATCAGAAATTATGATTACCATTTCGGCTGATATCTTACTGTATGCGTTCACAGTAAAGTGTCAATTAAAGTATCTGGACTTTAAAAGACTATAACTCAAAAACTAAAATTACTATCATAGATTGGAAAAAAGATTTCAAACACAGACACATTGAAGAGATAGTGTGGATATTATCAAAAGGAAAGATTGACCAATATATTTTTAGCGACATTTTAAACGACAAAATCAGCCTCTGATTTGACCATTCTACTGTGTCCTCAGTCTGAAATAGCGTCAGATGAAATCCCACAAGATTAACATGGTTAACACAACATATGTAAATCGCTTGATTTAAAAAGGAATCGTTAAAAAAATAAAATTAAATTAAATGACCCTTAAAATGTGTAACGGACGTGATGGTTTCCGTCCTCTTTTCTCTAAAAATTTAACTTGAGAGAAAAAAAATCTGGTCTGGTTTCACATTTAATTGGTTGACCATATAAAAGTATCACTTTGTTTCTACTCAATGTAAAAAAACAGAATCTCTGTATCAAATGTGGACATCTGAAAATACGTAACAAACTTCCGCAAAGCTCATTACGTCCGTTACATAAAATAAACAGGGCCGCTATAGGAAACTTGTCTAATGTATAAAACAGTTATGTTCTAGCAACTTCTAATGGACAGAGGAGATATTTGGATAAATGAAAAACATGAAATATCTTGGATTATTCAAATAAAATGTTTGGCCTTTTGTCACACTTTTGGGCCCTTTTGTGTGAACAAGCCCGTATACAGTATGTGCATATCAGTAATTTGGTTTTGTGCTCAACAGGGAAACATTTCCTTTATTTTAATTTATTTGTTTATTCCAAAACCAGCATTAAACAGAATGATACATAACAATACAATATTCAAGGTTCGGAAAGGGGGTGGGCTGAAGCAAACGTTTGTGTGATATTTATATATTATATTCACAATGTTAGCTTTACAATGGAAACACTGAATGATCTGCTGTCCAGTTTGGATGTACTATGGCAGTGTTGGTGTTGGTCACATTCACTTCTGAAACATTTAGAAGTATGGTTACCTTTTGTGGCGTATGGTATTTGTTTCTAAGCATCATATGTAAAATTGGTTAGTATTATAATCATTATTTTCTCTCCACAGTCAAAGACCTTCTTTAATGGAGTACCTGAGTTACAACCTTAACTTCATGAGTGTGTTGGTGGGGCCATGCAGTGACTATAAAGACTACATAGACTTCATAGAGGGCCGCCACATCAGCAGCAGGCTACATTCACACACGTTTAATGGATATAAGAAGCCATTAGAGCCTTCACCAGTAGTAAGTCTTTCTTCTTAATGTCCCGTCAATGCTAAAAAACCAAACAAAACATGCATATTGTTCATCGACAGAGAGCAGTGTGTGAGAAACTGCTGATCTGCACTGGCTGTGTGCTATTTTTCCTGATTGTTACGCGGTCTTTACCAATAAAATACAACGTGGATCCGGAGTTTTTGACGAACGCCACCTTCCCGACGAGGCTCATATATGCGTTTTTCTCTGTGCAAGCTTCCCGGCCTAAATTCTACTTTGCGTGGACCCTCGGTGAGTGCTTAAATGACGCCGCATTTCCTTTTGTTGCGCTTGCTGAGATCAGGTTTTTGCTTTTGGCAGCCGATGCGGTGAACATTGCAGCAGGTTATGGCTTTTCAAGGATTGATGAGAATGGAAGGTCGTCTTGGGATCTTCTCTGCAACGTCAACATCCTGGGGATTGAGGTGAAATGGTTTTGTTTGAGTCAAGTATCACAATGAACTCAACTGACGACGCTTATGTGAACCCTTTTTGTAGACAGCAACAAGCTACAAGTCCTTTATAGACAACTGGAATATTCGCACAGGGGCTTGGCTCAAAACGTGAGAATCAGTTTCTCGCTAAAAACTTCTAAAGTACAATGCATTTGACTAATTCTGGTGTTTGTGTCCGTATACTCAGGGTGTGCTACGATCGAGCTCCACGATACAGGCTTGCTTTGACTTTTATCCTATCTGCTCTTTGGCATGGCCTCTATCCAGGATATTATTTCACCTTCCTCACCGCTATCCCCATTACGATGGCTGCACGAGCTGTAAGTATGACAGGATAGTGGAAAAATACTTATATTTCTCACAAATGTTTTATATTTTTACCAGATAAGAAAGTCTATTCGACCCTTTTTCTTGGGATCCAAAGTTGTAAAGTGTGGCTATGACATTGTGACTTGGGCTGCAACACAGTTAGCGATTTGCTACACAGTCATGCCATTTTTGCTTCTCGCAGTTGAGCCTACTATTATTTACTACAGGTGCATTATTATTATTATTATTATTATCTATAAAACTGCATGTCTGATCTGCTAGGAAGTATAATGTTTCACTCTCTTGGTCCAGGTCTATGTACTTCCATGTGCACATTCTCAGCATTTTGACAACTGCAATTCTGCATCAGAAAAGCAAAGCGAGGGAGCCATCTGCTCCCAATAAAAGATCTTTTTCTTCTGATCGCTCACCGGCTCAGTGCAACAACAACGGAACTCACACAAACAAGTACTTTTAGAAATATTTTCATTTACAAACTGCTTCAATAATGCTCTACCAAAGTGCCTGCTCAATTGTTGTATTTTTGAGAGACAAGTAATTGACCCTAGAACTGTCTGTGATAATTACTTACTTACTTTTTTTCATGATTGACTTTTTTGTTTCTGAAACGCACATGAGTATTACAATGCACTAATATCCCATGTGAACTAATCTATGCCGCACAAAGCAGGCGACTGTCCGGCCACACTCGGACAATCTGCTCATCCACTGCACATAGAATGTTTACTTGTATTTTTATTTAAGTTTGTCTCTGTACGTCCTCCATTGATGACATTGTTTTTTTTATGTAAAGTGGAAAACACTATGCATCTATTATACTAATATTATATATTCTGCATAAACATAATTTTGAGCTTTTATCCATGTTATAACATTGTTCCTTCATCAAAAACAAACCTGGAGTTGTGTTCAGATCCATCCATGAACATGTTACTCTGTCCCTTCTGTCTCAAACCTGGTACAATATGATGTATTCTTTCACTATGACATCATGTTGAGGGCCGTTTTTATGCCCTTTGAAACATAAGTGTTGCCCCAAAATAGGTTTTTGAACGTTACAACCACATGGCTGTATTAGCAGCTAGTAATATTTGAATGTGACTTAAGATAATTCAGCACTGAGTCCTGAACATAGTATTAAATCACAATCATGCAAACCACTGGCTTGTGTTAGTTTTCAATAGTTCCAAGCAAACTTAAATCTACATTGTTTCCATATTCTGTGCTGAGACTTGTCCAAAGAAAATGATTGTTCTTGTTTACAATAGGTGTTTCCTGCTTGACTAATTCCTGAGTTCCATTTGTCATGTTAAAACACAGCCATCTACCATTTATAAAAAGTATAAATATTGTTGAAAGAGACTGAAGCCGCCGCTCTATTGTCCATTGTATTCATGTTTTTTTAACTTAAATATTCCTAACTTTAATTTGTGATTTATAGTGTGTACTAGCCATTATTTTCAAACCCATTCTAGCATTGTAGCTAGATGGCAGATCTGCCATTTAAAAAAAAATGCATTTTGGCACATAAAAGCATATCAATAGATGCAAATGTTTGAATAAAAGAAAATATATACTGACATTTATACTATTTTTTGACTTGTGCTTTTGAGTTATATTTAATGATATTCAGAATCAGAATCATTTTTATTGCCACGTAAGTAGGAGGTCACAGACTTGGAAATTGCTATTAATGTCTGCTCTCAATGTTGATGTTTCTTTGTTTACCAAGATTTAAGGAAATGCAGACATGGATTTAACTTATTGTCTTTGTGACTTACCATGTAAATAAGAATGTTTATTTATACAAGTGTTGGGGCATGTTGTGCTGCTGGTAACTTCAGTGTCTTGAATACTGTCCATTTGCAGTGTTTGTTCTAAGGATTAAAACTGGTTTATTGTATACTTTTCATTCTGCCCTTGTTCAAATCTCCCATGGCAGCGCTTTTCCTCCAAGGATATTATGTTTTGATCATACACCATGCAGCTAATGACACCAGCGGGAGAGAGGGTGGACACAAATAGTGACCAAAAACAACTAAATGACTTCTACAAATTAGTTGTAATTCTTGACATCTGCACCGCTGCTGTATCTATAAGAGGTGCTTTATAATATGTTTCGTTTCCCGTCCATTTTTAACAGAGCATTTACAATAGTTTCAGTTCTCATTTGGAGATGTGTGCTTGAAAAAGACAATACATTCAGCAGACTTGATTTTATTATGACAAAGTAAACATGTACCATAAGATTTGTATTAGTGCATGCACAATGGTCAAGCGATCAGACTTAAATTCCAGCTACATAAATTTCTATATTTTTGTTCATATATTTAGTTTTGTCTATTAAATAAATAAGCACAAGCTAAATCTCAAGTTCACGGTTTATGTGGAGTACTTGGCATCCGAAGCTGCAACAGGTAAAAAATAAATCATGAAATATCAGGATAAGTCAGATATAGAATTATTTTGTTAGTTCATTTATAGGAGGTATGGGGTTTGTTACATAATTATGTTTTCATGTAACTTTTTTTTGCACAAACATAATATTTGGAAAAGCATATGCAAAGAAAATATCAAACATGGTTGAACCAACGTGAGAAAATAAGCAATAAAAGATCTTTATTGTTCTCCTGCATCTCTATAACTACTGAAACACTCACAAACTATCCTGTTTTATTGAGTAGTTTGTCAGTTAAGATTTTAGCCAGTAGGGGGCAGCATGGTGATACCTTTAGGAGGAGATGTGCTTGGCAACACACTTAGCAACAGCCTTTTCTCAAGAGAAGCTTTAGGTCCAGATCAGGTCGTATTCAGAAAATAAGATATCTTTTCTGACTTGGACCTGATCTTTCACCGTTTGGAACAATGTGCTTGAAAAAATCTGGATTTATTCTGAATTTTATTTTAAGCTCCAGGTCTATTTCTTTATAAATATTGAGGTACGTAAGATTCTTATTAGTCTGCACCTTTCTTCAGACATTTACACAAAAGGCATGTTCTGTCTAATATTTACACATTTCTGACAGAGGATCAATTGTGTCATCTACAATAATAAACATCATGCTTTAAAAAATAAACATTTTGAGAATGCATTGTCTCATGCACTGATTTCTTGGCTTAAAACTGCAACCACACACAAGTCCTTGTTTTAACACTGCTTAACAAAGCCCTATTCAACCTATGACAAAAACACAAAATTGTAACACAAGATGCCTTAAGATACTTCATTATTATTTTTTGCTTAACAGAAGTTTAAAGTAGGTCTCCCTCCGTGACTTGCATGTGTAGAGCAGAATCATGCTTGTTCCGTTTTAGTTAAGAAGAAGCAAAAGGAGAGTGTTTTGCCCTTTTAAATTAAATGAGATGTTTAACATCAGTTAATGTGAGAGATTACGTGACAATAGCAGCTTTGTGGCCATTTCAAAAGGTATTTTTCCATCTCTTTAAAGAGATGGCCAGGTCCCTGTGCTTAAAAATCTACAATCAAATGAGTTAAGATCCACTTCCTAATACCTTTTAAATAATTGTGATGACCCCTGACGTGAGTGTGTGGGTGTTGACCTCATCGAGTCCGCCAACCAAGGCCAGTCAGTCCAGTTCCTAGTGGATCGTATATTGTCTTTTAACAGCAAAATGGAAGCTTCAGTTTTTGCTGCCGTCTGTGGCGGCAGCAGGCTGTAGATTCTCATTAGTGTCTGTCTTCCCGTCTTTCTTCTCATCTTTGTCATCGATAAAAAAAAGCGGGAACATGCCGAGGATGCAACCGAATGCAACACCAATCGCTTTACCCTGCACACAAAAAATGAAACAAAAACACAAATGAAAGGTGAGTGTACAACATTCCTCCTGTAATAAATGAGGTTTTTAACTGTCACAACTGTACACTGGTTTCCATCTATCTGCAGCATTTATCTGGGTTTGGGACCAGTTCAAATGCTAGAACTCCATTATGACCACAATCCCCACGACAGCCAATATTCAATTCAATTCATTCTTTATTAAGAACACAGATAGAACTGGTTCATAGATTAAAAATAATAATAATAATAATAATAATAATAATAATAAAGAGACAAAAGACATATGTATACAGTAAAATTATAAACAGGTGTACAGGCAGGACCTCCAATGCCTCCATAGGTCAGAGGAAAACCTTACAGAGCTCCTCCTTGGACAGACCAGAGCTTGGATGATCTGGTTTGACAGATTCACGGCTCTGCACATAAAAGAGTAAATACAATATCTGATGGAGACAACACATGACCTCGCACCACAATTTACAAACATTTCACTGGCGCTACAAAACCTGGGCACTTTCAACAGAATCCTCAGAGAGTCATTGTGAGCCACATTTAGACTCTGCATACTCTTTTTCTTATATCTACACCAGAGCTGTGCACTATACAAGGGCGAGCAGAAAGCCTTGAAAAGATTAACTTTAACATCTCTAGAGCACATGTGAAACTTCCGAACGAGCATATTAGCCTGGCCATAAAGTTTACACTGCTGTCGATACATGTCTCTATCGTCAGAGAGGTCAGAGGTTATGTAGTGTCCAAGATACTTTACCTCCTCTGTGGGTTGGAGAATATCACCACATAGAAGGAAATCAGGGAACACTAGTTTTTTATCCTCCTTTGTTTTTACAATCATGATTTGACTTTTAGAGGCATTATACTTGATGTCATGCTCTATGCCATATCGGGAGCAGATATTTAACAGCTGCTGTAGACCTGCACTGTAAGGACACAACACTACAAGGTCATCTGCATACATTAAATGGTTACACAGGTGACTGCCAACCATGCATCCAGTTTTACACTGATTTAGCTGCAGAGACAGGTCATCAATATAGACATTAAATAGAAGAGGAGACAAAATTCCACCCTGACGCACCCCATTGCTAACCCTGAATGGGTCAGAAGTGGAATCGCCCCATCTGACCTGCATGGACTGGCAGGAGTACCAGAATGCAAGTATCCTTATGAGGAAGTCTGGAACACCTCGATCTAATAATTTTTGGAACAATGTTCCATGGTTGACTCGATCAAATGCTTTAGATGCGTCCAGAAAACACATGAACATAGTTGATCCCTGAGAGTTATATTTGCCCAGCATCTCTTTGAGGGCATAGATGCACAGGTCAGTACCATGTGCAGGCTTGAAGCCAAACTGGTTAGCAGTGGTGTACAAATATGGCTCGAGTCGGGTTAAAAGAATAATCTCCAAAACCTTAGACATGGAGCTTGCTAAAGCAATTGGGCGGTAGTTGTTACTGTAACTGAGTTTACCAGTCTTATTTTTGATTATAGGGATCAATATAATGGACAAAAGTGACTGAGGCAAAAGGCCATGAACCAGAAGCCCAGTGAAGCAGAGGGCTAAGAGAGGATATAGCCGTGAGCTGGCAAACTTTGCATGTTCAGAAGTCACTTTATCTGTCTGAAAGCCTATGCGACACTCATCTTGCCGTCTGTACTTGAACGCCTCACCACGGGAGCGGCGCGCGTTCACAGCACAGACTGTGTGGTGCCATATTGACGCTGCTACGGAGGAGAGGACTTTGTTTATTGTTTGTGCGTTTTGTGACTCAAGAAGTAAGTTGCTGTAGGCCTACTGTTCCTCACACGAGTTCAGGAAGGAAGGTTTACTTATATAGTTCGTCCATATTTGTTAAACAGTGGTTTCCCTGATCTGTGTTGTTCCAGCTAAGTAATCTAAAGACGCTTCGCTATGCTAATATGACCCGTCATGTATACTTTCCTGCACCCTTGTATTAATAGTGCCATTTCAGTTACCTCTGTTCGTGTTTTACACCACTTAATTACATATTTATGTTAACCTCACATAGACCTTAAAGGGTACCTATGTTGTACTTTATGTTATCATTTTTCCTGATTTATTGTAGCTCCTATTAGTCCACATACATTGACTATTTATCGTTTATTATGTTACTCATTATATAATTATTATTAATACTGTTTTTCCTTTCTGTTTCCATAGCCACACACATACACACACAATGTACAAATTGTGACAAATTGACAACCCTGCATTAAAGCTGAGTGAAGATTCTCTGACCGGAGTCTGTCTGTAGTGTCCCCAAACCAGAAAGAAACCACTCCATTCTTTACATTGGTCCTTCGAGCCGGATTGGTTCCACTAGAGGCGCTATGGACTCAGCTGATCAAGATCCTCCATCCTCCAGACCCAAGAGAGACCTTCGTCTACCAGAGCATTTGGCCGAATATGATGTCGTCCTCCTTCCCTCTCAGCAGCCCGCTGCCCAAGTCTCCTCACTTCCAGTAGGACAACCCGGCAAGCGTAAGCCTTCCAGAACCGGGAGTGCGTCAGGATATCAGTCATCTACAAGTTCACGACGGTCTTCTCGTTTATCCCTGGGGAGTCAGCTACTGAAGAATATGCCAGATGTTAAAGCAGCTGCGCTGGAAGAGCAGATCAGAGTTATGGAGCTTGCAGACCTGCAGCAGGAGATAGAAGAGGAGAGAGAAGCAGATTTGGAAGCCAAGAAGTTGGAGGAACAAGTTAAAGAAGGACAACGGATGCAAGAGGAAGCATACCTTGCCAAGGAAAGGATGGCCAAGGAAATGGGACGGCGCAGACGCCTGAAGAAGTTGGAGAAGGAAATTAAGATCGCCAGTGCTGTAAAGTGCTTTCTATCCGAATCAGAGGATGAAGCAAAAGGTAAAGTGACGATCCCACCCTTTTCTGATGGGATTATGTCTCTGACATCCACTCCTAGACCGTCTCTTGCACCTTCCCATGTTGCTCAGCATCCAGCACAGCCACAGCAGCACCCAGATCAGGTACAGTCCCTTCTTACTCTTCCTGTTGCTCAGACGTTTACAACCGCCAATTCTAATGCTTGGCTGCCACCCAATATACCGGTGTCTACCTATACTCCTCCCACGGTACCCCCTCCTATATCTGCTGTACCTATTAGCCAACCTATCCCTGCCGCAACAGTGCCACTAATGAGGCCTCCTGTTGTCACTTCCGTCAGTCAGCCCCAACGCCCGGAGCCAACAGCTGCAAGCATCGGGAGCATAGTCCCATTTCCAGCTGTTGGAGCTGTTCCCCCACCTCCAGTTGTGCAATACACAGCACCTATAATTCCAGATGTGAATCGAGGTCCGCCAGCACAACCATGGTCATATCCTGGCATAGAGACCTTGATTGCCTCGTCCTATGGCATCCCCAAGCCAGCACTTCCTGCTTTCGAAAGTGGGCGAGAAAGTGATTTCGCTCTACTTAAGATGGCACTGGACAATCTGATGAACAGCCACCCTCACCTCAGTGAGCATTATAAGTATAAAGTTCTCCTGAGTCAGCTTAAACTTCCCAGTGCATTGCAGCTAGCCAAGTCATACATGTATGATCCCAGACCTTACACTGCAGCACTAGGTGCCCTCCAAGACAAGTATGGCCAACCTAGACAGCTGGTCCAAAGTGAGCTAGGCTCAATACTCAACTCACCAGCCATTAAGTCAGGAGATGCCGAAGCTTTTGACTCCTTCGCCCTCTCAGTCCAGTCTCTGGTTGGTATGTTACGCACCCTAGAGGGAACCGTCGGATATGAGCTCAGGTGTGGCTCCCATGTCGACCGCCTTTTAAGTAAGATGTCCCCGGCCCACAGAGATGGATTCGTGGAGTACTGTCTTTGTCGAGGCATCTTGCAGCCAGGTACGGATATAACCTACACTCTGCCCGACCTTGCAGCCTGGCTACAGATGAAAGCTCAAGCTAAACGCCTGGCCAGTCGGGCCCCTCATCTCTACAATCCTGGGCCTCTTCCATCCAAGAGGGAACAACATGGTTCGAAGTGCAAAGACAGAGCTGCTTCAGTCTTCCTGTGCTCTGAGACAACCAAAGACAGGCCGACCACTCCACAGGAGCCACAAGCTTCAAAGTTTACACCATACTGCCCATTCTGCAATAATAAAGAACACTATCTCAATTCTTGTCTTGAGTTTAAGAAACTGAATTTGAGCGAGATCAAGAAGTGGATCCAGGAGGGTGATAGATGTTTCAAGTGTGGTCGCAATCATAAGGCTGCAGCGTGTACCCTCAAACGCCCTTGCAAGACATGTAAAGAGACCCACCTTACAGTTCTGCATGACGTCATCCAAGAGTTATCCCAGAGAGTCCTTACGGTGCGTCATCGGGAACCCACGGTCTACATTGAACAGCCGAGAAGCCCTCAGAGAGTCCTGTTGAAGATTGTTAAAGTGCTCTTACAACATGGAAACCGCACTTGAGACGTTTGCAGTACTCGACGATGGCTCTGAAAGGTCGATTCTACTCCCACTTCAACTCATTAAGCATCCTGAAACTCTGCACCTGAGGACTGTCCAACAGGAAGTGAAGGAGCTACATGGTTCTTCTGTCAGTTTCCACGTCTCACCCATCTTCAAGCCAAACAAGAGGTATCGCATTGACAACGCTTTTACATCCAACAGTCTGAGCTTATCTGAGCACACTTACCCTGTAGCAGATCTCCAGAAGCGCTTTGAGCATCTCAGAAGGCTTCCGTTGTCGGCGATCCACAGAGCGCAACCACTGCTACTCATTGGTTCAGATATGCCACATCTCCTTACCCCAACTCAGCCCGTGCGCACAGGTCCCTCTGGTGGTCCAATAGCCATCTGCACCAGACTAGGCTGGTCACTTCAAGGTCCGTCAGAGATTGCGGCAGTCTCATCCCATCATTCTTGTTTGCACATTGCCACTACTCTGTATAGTCCCCCTACTCTGCACTTATGAAGAATGTGGAGCGCCTTTGGCAGATCGATACACTCCCTTATATCAGCGAGAAAATGGCGTCTCGTTCCAAACAAGACCAACAAGCAGTTACTCTTCTGCAGACTACCTCTGAACGTGTATCTATCAACGGCATCCAACGCTATGCTACTCCACTCTTACGCCGTCAATCCAGCACTACCCTTCTGGCACCCCCAGACGCTGCGATGCCCAGCCTACGCAGAATCGAACGCCGATTGGCCAAAGATCCTGCACGAGCAGCCTCCTACCGCAAAGAGATGGATAAACTTGTACAGGCTGGCTATGTCGCTGAGACCCCCTCCGACATAGTATCGAAGTCCACAGAGTCGTGGTACGTACCGCATCATATGGTGCACCACAACGGAAAGGACAGGGTCGTCTTTAACTGCTCCTTCTCTTACCAAGGCCAGTCCCTCAACAACAATCTTCTTCCTGGGCCTACGCTGGGTCCTACCATGATTGGGGTCCTGCTCCGATTCCGTCGCCATGCTGTTGCCATAAGTGGGGATATCAAGGGGATGTTCCACCAGATTCGCTTACTGCCCTGCAATAAACCACTTCTCAGATTCCTCTGGCGGGATATGGAAGTTACATCTGAACCACGGATCTTCGAGTGGCAAGTGTTGCCTTTCGGGACAACCTGCAGCCCCTGTTGCGCCGTCTACGCCCTGCAGCAGCATGTCAGAGACCATGAGCCACCAGACTCGCTCCTTATGCAAGTGATTGAGCATTCATTTTACGTTGACAACTGCCTTCATAGTATGAGTCAGGTTGAAGAGGCCAAGGCCCTGATTGACCATCTCCGAGCACTTCTGATCAAAGGTGGTTTTGAGATCCGTCAGTGGGCAAGCAACGTGCCCGAAGTTGTGGCACACCTACCTCCCGAAGCCCAGTCAGCTAGCAGTGAGCTGTGGCTATCCAAAGCCAGCGATAACCTCGACGAACCTGCTCTCGGGCTCACCTGGGATTGTTTGGACGATACATTGAGCTACAAGCATCAGGCCGCTGACACCACACCGGCCACACTCAGACATGTCTACAGTGTTCTTGCCAAGCTCTACGACCCACTCGGTTACATCGTACCATTCACTACCAGATGTAAGGTGCTTATCCAGGACATGTGGAAGTCCAACATTGGCTGGGATGACCAGATACAGCCCACAGACCTCCTGGACAAGTGGTTGAGCTGGGTACAAGAGATCCCCGCTTTACGGCACCTCAAGTTACCACGCTGTTATGCTCCAGGTTCTGTCGATTCGGCCACTGCTACTGTCCATGTTCACATCTTCTGCGACGCATCTGAGCGTGCATATGGGTCGGTTGCTTACATGCAGACAGCGGATCCCAATCAGCACAATCACCTGTCGTTTGTGTTCGCCAGATCACGAGTCGCACCAAAGAAGCAGCTGTCCATCCCACGTCTTGAACTAAGTGCTGCCCTTACCGGTGCGCAGCTTGCCAGAGTGATCGAGACAGAGCTTGCCATCCCACCTGAGCATATCACTCTCTGGTCGGACTCCACAACCGTGCTGCATTGGATTAAGTCAGAGTCCTGCCGTTATAAGGTGTTTGTGGGGACCCGTGTCACAGAGATCCAGAACCTGACGGACCCCTCGCAGTGGCGCTACGTTAACACGGAGAGCAATCCTGCGGATGACATTACCCGTGGACTCAGTCTGCAGGATATGATACAAGAACATGTCGTCCTCATCTGAAGTGGAATATGATGCAGCGGAGTTGAAGAAATCTGCTTTTATCGGCGTAGTGTCCACTACTCAATCTTCGCAGCTTCCTGACCCTACCCAGTGCTCCACCTGGAAGCAGCTTCTTCGAGAGGCAGCTACCTCTCTTCACGGGGCGGCTGATGCAAGCTCCCCTTTAGCATGCTCAGCAGATAACTTTCTACAAGCGGAGAAGTTGCTGTTGCAGAAAGCTCAAGAAGACTGTTTTCCCGAAGAAATAAAGGCCCTAAAAGCTGGTCGTTCCCTCCCATTGGACAGCCGTCTTGCCTCTCTTTCACCAGAATATGAGGAAGCCACAGGACTATTGAGAGTCGGTGGAAGGTTGCGGCACGCCACAGGGCTGGATCTGGATACCATCCATCCTACCATCTTGGACCCAAAACACTCTGTGACCCAGCTTGTCATCAAGGACACAGACAATTCGTTGCTACATCCAGGTCCGGAACGAGTTCTTGCTGAACTTCGTCGCCGCTTCTGGATTGTACGAGGAAGAGAGGCCATAAGGAAGCACCAACATTCGTGTGTTGAATGTCAACGATGGAAAGCCAAGCCCGATGTTCCCAAGATGGCTGACTATCCACCCCCTCGACTTCGTCTCCACAAGCCTCCCTTTTACTCGACAGGAGTCGATTGTTTTGGGCCGTTTCGAGTCAAAATTGGCCGCCGCACCGAGAAGAGATGGGGAATAGTCTATAAGTGCCTGACGACGCGCTCGGTACATTTGGATCTACTGGAGAGTCTTGACACAGATGCTTTCTTGCTGTCATTGAGAAGATTTATTGCACGACGTGGCAAGCCGTTCGAACTCCTTATGGACAACGGTACCGATTTCGTTGGTGGAGAGCGCGAACTGCGAGAAGCGGTTGCTTCAATGGCTTCACAATTGAAGACACAACTCTCAGAACATCAGATATTCTTCAGGTTCAATCCTCCAAGCGCTCCGCACTTTGGTGGCACTTGGGAGAGGGAGGTGAAGTCTGTCAAGATGGCCCTCAGAGTCGTGCTCAAAGACCAGACTGTTCCTGAACCCGTTCTTATGACGACGCTGGTGGAAGTTGAAGGCATAATGAACTCTAAACCCTTAGGTTACCTATCTTCGGACGCTTCAGATCCAGACCCAGTCACCCCTAACCTGCTCCTTATGGGTCGCCACGACGCATCTCTACCTCAAGCAGTTTATGACCCCGGTGATCTGGGAAGAAGGCGCTGGAGACACAGCCAAGCTCTTGCTTGGATAACCATAACTTCTGGTTATCTTTCACCCGACATTACCTACCAGGTCTCCAAGAGCGTAGCAAGTGGCGAAAGGATGGGAAAGCCCTTTCAGTCGGTCAAGTCGTACTAATAGTGGATCCTCAACTTCCTCGAGCATCGTGGCCAGTCGGACGGATTACTCAGATACACCCAGGAGCAGATGGACGTGTCCGAACAGCCAGCGTTCAAGTCAAAAGCCGCACCTTCCTTCGTCCGGTAGCCCGACTCATCCTGCTCCCACTTCTTGGAGATACAGACGATGAGGACATCTAGACATTGGCTTTCTTCTTGTTTTTTCAACTGCCACGTGGACAGTTGGGGGTTATCTAACCCACTGGACTTGTTTTTCAGTGAAAACAGCTTCATACACTTCTTGAGGGGTGACTATCACTCCTCTGTGATTTCCAACAGGTTTTGTGACATTTGTATTTATATTGCTCTCAACGTAATTGAACAGATTATTGTAATAATTCTTCCAGTGCTGGCATATATTATAGGGTCCACTTACACCATCAATATTATTCGGCAGAGAGGTTTTAGATTTATTTATCTTACCAACCTCTTTCCAGAAGTCAGTATACTTATTATTTTGCAGCTTTGACACTAAAGAATCCGCCCTTAATGTGTTTTCATTACGTTTAATATATCTGAGGGCATATTTATAGTTGGCATTTCCCCGTTTTTTATATTCAAAAACAGGGCCAGATCTTGGTTTTCCACCTTCATGCCAGGCCTTGAAAGCCCTCCTAGCCTCAGCATGTGGTTCCTCAACAAACATGTTCCACCCAGGTTTACCTCTATGATTTTTCTTCTTTCTATTACATAAAAGCTTTCCAGATTTAATGAGGATATCTACAATTGTATCATATAAGGTGTAGAGTTGAGCCCCATGCTCAGGATCAGTACAATTAACATTGCGACACAGTATGGCACTTTTAGGTAGTATAACATCCTTAAAAAAATACTCAGTTCTTTGAGTGTAGGCATGCACTTCTTCACAGCTAAGGCTAGACCAGTCCGGGCACTCACTTAAACTATTCACAGGTACATTTACAGGAGTTAATTTGGGAACATTTTCTACGTTACAGTACACAGTTAATGGCATATGATCACATGTAGTTATATTATAATCAATATGCATTTTCACAATGGTGTGCATGTGGTCCAATAGACTTAATTCTGTTCATGTTCTTCAACATGTCAATACAAAAACAAAACATGACCTTTCACTATGAGCCTAAAGCTAAATTACTGACGGCCTAATCACTAAAGCCAATTAAAGCTAATTAGCTTTCACACCGATTTCAATTAAGAAGTCAGGAAACCATTGGCAATTTCAGAAAATATGTGACATGACAATGACCTTTAAATCAACAAGCTAAAGGCTCCTCGTGTAAGCGAACAAGCACAATGTATCTGTGCTCTCCCTGTTTGGACACACTTAGCATCAATCATAACTCAATACACTTAGATGTGTTATTAAACCACAATGACTATATGATCAGTTAGCACAAAGTATAATCAGGTTCTGAAAGACAAATACAAACCACTTCACTTGTTTCTTCAGAACTGTTGTATCACAATCAGTTTTTATTTGTCAATAAAAGTTATTTAATTCTGTAATTCTTATGCAGATCAAAGTAATGTGAATAAAAAAGTTATGAAATTGGTTAGCACTGCTGCAATAGTCCTTTGTACTGACCGAGTGCGAGCTGACCCTGGTCTGCCACATGTCTGCCTGTTTGGGGCTCAGGTCTGGAATCTGCATCCCCAGTCGTGATGCCAAGGCCTCCACGTAACCGGCCAACCTGAGGGAGGGAAGAGAAGCGGCCATCCATCAGTCAAGGTTAAGGCCAGTGTTCTGTCTTTATACCAGCTGCTTTAAGTGCTTCACTCGCACAACTGGGCAATAGCAAAAAAGGAAATTACAGGGAGTATAAGTGTAGTATTTTAAGTTAAACAAGACCTGTTCTGTGCAAATAAAATGAAATAAAGGATAAATGTAGTAGTTCTGAAATGTAGGGAATTGCTTTATCAGTTTAATAGTTAATATTTCAGTCTACTCTAAAATGTTCAATCTCCAGGATTGTGTCATTGTAAAAAAAATATATATATATCTCTTTTGCAGGCATCTCCATCTTCCACAGTAGCAAGTTAGTCTTTGCAGCTAAAAAAAGACAGAAATGTTCATAATATGAATTGTCCCATATACATTAAATAGACATTCACACAGAACACATCACCATAATCATAAATATGCAATGCAAGAAAAAACCCGCAAGTTTCAGATGAGCTTGCGCGCAAAGCAAAAGGGACATTAAGTCTTCTCTTTCCTTAATAAACACAGTGCATTAATCCTGCAATGATGCCACAAATGAACATCCTCTTGTCGCTTCTTTGTTGTCACCACCTGCTATAACCAGCAGGGGTTCAACCACAGCTCAGTCGGAACTATCTTTATCACGAGTAATTAACTTATAATACGGTTTCAACAAGACAACATGGTGGAAACTAGAGCACAGCAACGTGTGACAGCCTCTCTGTTCAAACATATTCATCTATGCATGGATCATTATGGATTCTGGAGATGAAAGCTTGTTTGCTGTGTTTTGCATCTGCTTATAAAAATGCATACCACCATGTACCGGCCATTTTCCACCACGATACAGAATAAACATGTAGAAGGATATCTTTGGAGTTTACCTTGATCCACTTCTGCTAATGTCCTCCTCAATCTCCCTCCAGCTAGGACTTATGAACACCGTCTCTCTCTATGTATCAGTCATATGTCAGTTAGTAAGATGTTATCGTCACAGAATATTCATGTGTGTCTTCCTCCATGTACTATAGCTGTGTCTGTTACAAAGGCCTAGCTATCTATCTTAGTCTTATTGCAGCTTCCTTTTCTGTATAAATATTTCACCACCTTACAGCGTGACAGAGTTGCGAGCCTGGATGTTGCCTGGAGCATTGAGCCCCTCATGTCCGAGGTGAAGGCTCAGATAAAGTGCAGTCCCAAGACTCCCATCACAACTCCCACAGATAGTGACACATCAAGGATCGTGACACCAACTGGAATGGGGCAGTTAAGGCCACTCCTGCAGAGAGGACTGCACAGCGGTGGTCGAAGACTGGATAAAGCGGAGGAAAATTGCTGGAAATAAATTAAAGAATGAATGCACGGCTGAAGTCCCCTGATTCGCTGTCGGACCATGTGATGTGTGTCCTGGACCTGTGTGTGAGTGTGTGTTTGTAAGTTTGTGTTCATGCTTATGTATGGAAGATGTATACAATTTGAGTTTTTAAAAGTCACCATAAATGCCTCTTTGTGAACATTATTTAATACGAACCAAATAACCTTTTATACTGTAATTAGACAATTCAACCAAGTCATCCTTTGCATATGGCATGTTGTTTATTGATTGCAGGATGTAAATTAGAGTTTTGAAATGCCACATTCTCAGCAACAGGACGGGATATTGCTGTAATCTTGCCACTGATTACACTACTTCACATATGTTATTAACAGTGACTGATTATCACAAATACAATCAAAATATTTCAAACAATTTACAGAAAGAAATTATGAAAGTAGCTCTTGCAAATAAAAAAACCCTCCAGAATCCTGACTATGATGACATTTTCTGCAACAAGAATCTCTGCAGCTCGTCATTCACAGCTCTGTCAAGTGTGACAAGAGTGAGAGAACTGGATTATTTTTAACACCCGAGCACTCAGATTCACAGCCATGGGTAATGTATTTGTTTGGAAACTGAAAATAAATGCAAATGGATCCGTTCTGCAAGTTAAAATGTCACAGTGCGTTTTCAACAGCATTATTCGTCAACACCTGCGTGTGTCACGAGAAGGAATGAAATGGGAAAACAATCTGTCTCTACCTATTAACTTTGCTTTATTTTATAGCATCTATTCTACATGACACGCACACATTACATGTTACATGTCTATTTCAGCAGTCATTTTACAGAAGGAAAATGTATAATATTAGCCAAAGCCGAGTAATAATTAATAACACACTATGTACATAATGCTAAAAAATAGAAGTAAAACATAATGTGTTCTATTCTTGCTGATAGATTTTTCAGAGGCTGTGGACTCTCTGTGCTTTTTTATTTCTTATTTTGTTTAAATAATACAAGAAATACAGAATACAGATAAAACGTATACATATTTGTGTACGTGAAAAATGTGCCTAAAGCATGGGACGATTCAATAACTTTACATAAAGATGGATAACTCATAGCCATAACAGTCATACAATGTCTTTTAGTATTTCCTGTTAAAATTATGATGTTTTTGACTTAAGTTTGAAGTAGTCAGGCTATTTAACACAACAGATGGAAAAACTTCAATTTCCATCTGTGGTGATAACTAACGTCTTCATGTCTATTTGGCTGAATGATCTTTCAAGATGCAGTTCACAGAGCATGACTATTGACAATCTTAACACTCGAGAGGACATCAAAACAAGACGCCCATGTCTTTGAGGAGCAAAACTGAAAATTTTGCCAATTATGAATCTTTAGACAAGTATTGCAATTGTGTTTTGTATTCAGAAACAAAGTGGTCATCTTGATTTTGGTTGTTCGAGAGTAGAGAGTAGAGAGAGTAGAGAGAGCAGAGAGAGCAGAGTATTACCCTTCACTACATAACATTATCACATTCAAACATCCAGATTGTAATTTACATTTCATTCTGATTAATGTTGCAGCTTTATTCCTCAGTAAATCTTTCCTTTATGGTTTCAGCCAGAACACAAAATATTTTTCTCAAAGCGCCACATGGACTAATCAAGGCAAAGAACGCTTAAGAATGAATCATCAGCTCATAGTGACAGACTTTACTCTCGTCAATCAAGTCCACAAGACAGGATGGAACAACACGGCTCCCACACGCTCAGACAGGGGAACGATATATAGTGAATTAGTTATATTTATCACTGGTCAGTCTGGCTGGAGGAAAGCTGTGGGAGGATTTACAATCACAACAACACTGGCCAATGAGGTATTAACGTGCGCAGAATTGACGGCAAAGTCAATTCAAATACAATACAGAAGCCACATGGATTTAAAACAGAAAAAGGCTGCGTATTGATCAGAGGTGTAAACAAATATTTGGAAAAGAAAAGAATAATAATATTCCTAACCCAAACCCTTTTATTCATTTTGACCAAAACAGACAATGCAGTGTCTTACTTGTCATGCACTTACACTCCGGAAACTAGAGAAGCAGTAGCAACTTGCGAGAGCTTTTATTTTCTTTCTTCTATTTACTTCTGCCCACTCCTTTTTAACTCCTCTTTGTTGTATCAACTGCGTGTATTGATCTGAGCCCAAAAAACAATCTGAACTGAGATGAACTGTGATGATTGCCTAGTAGTAGCAGTTTAGTATTGGGACATATCACAATCGCACATCCCTAATTAGGGGTGGGAACCTAAGGGTACCTCACGATACGATTCGATACACGATACAAAGCTCACGATAACGATAATATCACGATAACAATATCACGATAACGATTTTATCACAATATGACGATTATATATATTGGTCAGAAATATACAATATGCCAATTTATGGCATAAATAAAAGAAAAATTACTCTTTATTTCATGATAAATAGAATGAAGATGCGTAATGTAGCCATGTATTAAGTATTGATACAGATTCAACATTTTTTTTTTTTTTCTCAAAATCGATACTTGGCAAATGCATATCGTTAATCGAATCGCGGGAGAAAGTATCGCGATATATCGTCACACCCCTATCCCTAATAGTGATAATGCTTGGGTAAGCTGGTTCACTGTTTAAATAAGTTGCACAAATAGCACGAGGGGGTGCTATTGTCACTTAATGGATTTTCTAACTCCATGTATCAATAAAATAGATTGTATACACATGAACAAGTATGCACAATTAGAATGAGTTCATTATCACAGCAGGGGTGACTTGCAGGGATCTTTCTTACATACATATGCAAAGGATAGAATGTTTCCCCATATTATAAAGATGTCTGCATATTGCAGGCTGATTAAAGTGTATAATCTGCACTACTCTGTAATATCTAAACAATACTTTACTTATGTACTTTTTTTATTTCCTTTCCGAAGAAGTAGGGTATATTCTGCAACATTCCTTTCCTGACCTTCTGTGAACATTGGTTAATCTGTTTTTCTCGTTTGACAAATTGACTAGAAAAAGTTATTTGAGACAACTGCTGTGTTGGTTTCGGGCTGTCTGGGAAAAAAAAAAGATTTGATTTGAAGTTGAAAAGGGAACTTGTGACTAGCCAACGCTGCAGTAAAACAATTCAAACAATATATAAACAAATATGCTTCATAAAGAGATTAGCCAAATACAAATAATACAAAAAACACAACTTATCTCAAGCTGCAAATTGAATTCTTCCATCAGATCGGAGAAGCCAAACATTTATCCACACGTCACTTGGAGAAAAACTGTGCTGAATCACTCAACCTTGCTTACTGCTTCAGGGTAATCACTGCCGGCATTTCTTTTGAGCATAAACCATAATGTATATAGTGCAGTGGAGGTTATGTGCTGTCCACAGAGAATATTCATCCTTCAGTCGGTAATTCAGAACCCTTCTCTAAACGTGCTCCACCTTGACTGTTCTGGCCACAAGAGTCGACTAGCCCCATTATAAATGAGTGACACACACAGGCAAGGAAAAGGGCCTGTAAATGGTCAATCCATCACACTCACAGTACGAAACACTTTTGCCAGCAAATTCATCTGCCAGTCAGCCTAATTATAAACTTTCTATGCTAATATTCACCTAATTATACTATTAATATTTGAACTTGAGGGTGCTTAAGGGCTGCATTAGTCCTTAGTCCTGTGAAGTGGATAATGGCCTTCAATGAGCCAAATAATCCAATAGACATTCTTTATCTAAGGAGGCCAGTATTATGTATGCATTATAGCAGAGCCGACTCATATGTTGTGATGCTTTGTTGTTTGCTTTGTTTCTGGATGGAAAACGATAGCGTAGAGATGAAAAGAACAACTTATGAACTGTGGTTCACAGTCACACTAATGAAGCTCCTGCAATTCTAGCCTCCGTTTCCATTAGAGCCTAATTTATTGCAACAAAATAAAAATGGGCTCAGTGCTATATACGCAATAAACATATGCTGAATTTGGGATATTATGTGAATGAATGCATGAGTATAAGAAGATTGTGAATTTGATCATGCATTGGCTCAGGTCTTTCTGTGATAGGAGATAGAAGATGTTACGACAGCGTGCCGACGGGGATGACACCCTAACTATAAACTTGTGCGGAGGGAAGGACAGTGGATCTGTTAATGGACAAAGAAAAACTGTTAGATTGAGGGAGAGTGGAGGGGGTGCCTACAAGCAGGACTTCAGTTTTGGAGCTGTTCAGTTTAAGGAAGTTGGAGGAGAACCAGGAGTTGATTTCCTGTCGACAGTGGGTGAGGGAGGATGGGGGAAGTAGTGAAGAATGTTTGGTGGAGAGATAGAGCTGGGTGTCATCCACATAACAGTGGAAGTGAATATTGTGTTTACGGAAGATAAAACCAAGTGGGAGGAAATAATGAAAAGGAGGGACCCCAGGGCTCCATCCTGGGGTGCTATGGGTGACCGATGGGTGAACTTCACCTATCGGTGAAGTTGCAACTAAAGCATAGGATCTATTAGTTGCATTAGGATGTACTTTCTGATTTTATATATTTGAAAACATTGGAAAAGGTTGCAAACAACTAATGATCTGAATAACAATCAACTACTTCCGCCAAACCTGCTTAAAATGCAGTTTTGACCGTTATTTCCCTTGAGTCCTCACTGTGTACAGAAGTTTGGATCTGTGCTTCTGGCTCCAGAGTTGAACTCCTATTGGAGTTCCCAATGGAGAGTGTGCCCTTTTTATCTGTGCTGCTGACGTGCCTGTTTGTGTGAATGAACTTACCCCAGTCCAGCTAGGTCCGACACCAGGTTGCCAAGGGCAGCAGCTGTGGAGAAGAAGCAGAGATGATGATACAAAATGAAGTTTGTGTCAGATACAGCACTAACATGAAATCTGACACGTCTCGTAGGTAGAGAAAATCCTGGCTTGTTTCGCGAATAAAAGGGTGAATACAAGGGCTGCAAATATCTTGATAGAATGAGTATAATTTTGATCTATTGAGGACTTGTCAAACATATGAGAGAAAAACATTCATAAATGTGTTAGTGAAAACAACATACTTCCCTTGTAATAATATTAAGTGCCAGAATATCAACCTGTGTTAAAATATAAAATCAAAATCACACACACAAAAACAACAGATTGCCTGATTCAGACTACTTTATTTATCCCACCAGGGGCAATTTTTTTGGTGAATATTACACATACTTCTGGAAATTTTTGGATTAACATAATTGCATGAAATGTTACCTACTAAACCAAGTATACTGCGAAACCTCTGCATTTAAAGCCTGCAGTGTCTATTGCAGTCTTTTTCATATTGTGTTGCTTGTGTTGTCGTTGACACTGGGGTTAGGGTTCTGCCTCAGCTGTTAAAGTACACAAAAGTCCCTCCGGAGAGAAGAAGCTGCCAGCTCTACTAAAGGCTACCATTTGAAGCACTCTGTGGTCTCACTACAATAGTTTGGTTGCAGCAGCTTCCTCACAGCAAAAAGGAGATGCATTATTCACAAAATTCACTGCAGGGACTACCATATAATCAGCATTCATCCATCTTAAAAAAAACACACACACACAGTAGCTGCACTATAAGAGTCACAGTATGTCTATGCTAGTGTGCAGAGATTGACTATATTTTTACAATTCATAAAAAGAGGAGTAGGTTTGCCTATTGTGAAATTGTCATGACTTTTTTCACTACAAGAAAGGTAACACTGCAAATGTATTCTGGTTCAATCAGGTTATTAATTTATCATCTAGCTATCTATCTAAAGGTGCTGAATTTGAAACTCTCCATTTTCTGGCATTTTTATAAAGTCCAACCGTCTGTCACTGTTCCGCTGTGTTGTCTTGGGAAATAAATAGAAAGTCCTATATTCTAATGCCAAAACCAAATGTGGCTGTTGCAGAGATAACTTTGCTTTGTTCACAAGCACCAGATCATCTCATCTCTCAGCAAAAATGCTGTAAGAAAACACAAGAATAGATTTTCCCAGACACACCAATGAAGGATTTTAAAGTTGAATATACAGTATGTTTTTTATTACTGAAAAAACTTAATTCTTCATAAAGACGACCGGGTGATCACTAGTTATAGGTTATATTCAACCTTTATTTAGTGTAAGTTCCTTAAGTTAAAATGTGTTACTCCATATCTGAATATTATCTGTGAAGAGGAGGCCATTTTTTTATTTTTTATAACATGGAAGATTAAAGATAAACAGTAAAAATGGTGTTTCATTGGAGACCACTGGATGGAATGGTGTCACTATAAAAATTGCATACAGCATACAGCAATCAGCAACATTTCAGTTTGCTGTGTGCTAAAGATTTGACTCATTGTCACTTCTCTGTAAGTTTCAGACCAGTTTGACCAATGTAATGGAGGAAGTAATCACTCTTAATAAGGAGCTTTGACTTTCTATGTAATTACAAGAGAAGGTCAGTAGTTGGTCTTTAAATCTCTCTCATTATTCTTTGACTCGACTGAATACTGGACTTCAAGGAATAGTTCACCGTTTTTACATACTGACATATGTTCTTACCTTACCTTAGACTAGTTAATACGTACCTGTCTGGTCTTAGTCCGTGCGCTCTGTCATGCAAACGGAGCAAAAACGGGAGCAAAAACACAGCCTCCTCTGTATATTTTGTAGCACCAAAAAGGTAGCTCCCGCTAGAAGCTACCAAACTCTTCCAAGTGTTCCCTATTCAATGTATATAGTTACGTGACGTGTTACACTGCAAAGTATAGTAACACAGAAATGTAACAGTCGATTTTCTCAGCGGATAAAACGGGTACTATATTGTGAGGCGTAGTAATCTGAGGGGCGCTACGTCCGCGCACTAACTTCTCTCCGGAGACTTCTCTCTCGCTCACTTCCGTCAATAGAAGCAGCGTGACTTGTAATACACACAGTAGCAGCGAGAGAGAAGTCTCCGGAGAGAAGTTAGTGCGCGGACGTAGCGCTCCTAACTTCTCTGCGCACTAACTTCTCTCCGGAGACTTCTCTCTCGCTGCTACTGTGTGTATTACAAGTCACGCTGCTTCTATTGACGGAAGTGAGCGAGAGAGAAGTCTCCGGAGAGAAGTTAGTGCGCGGACGTAGCGCCCCTCAGATTACTACGCCTCACAATATAGTACCTGTTTTATCCGCTGAGAAAATCGACTGTTACATTTCTGTGTTACTATACTTTGCAGTGTAACACGTCACGTAACTATATACATTTAATAGGGAACACTTGGAAGAGTTTGGTAGCTTCTAGCGGGAGCTACCTTTTGGTGCTACAAAATATACAGAGGAGGCTGTGTTTTTGCTCCCGTTTTTGCTCCGTTTGCATGACAGAGCGCACGGACTAAGACCAGACAGGTACGTATTAACTAGTCTTAGGTAAGGTAAGAACATTTGTCAGTATGTAAAAACGGTGAACTATTCCTTTCAGTCATACCTCAGCACTCCTGAAGAAAGACTCTGTTAAATTCAATAATACCAGTATCAAACAAATGTCTTGACAATGATACGGCATAGGGTAATGGCCAATGCAGCATTCTTTCATCAGCGCTTTGCTACATGTTTGTGGGCGGTATTCATTTGGCAGCAAATATATATTTCATTCTCAAGTTTGATGGGGTAGAGACAAAAATAAGGAATAAGGCACACACATTTGAGCAAAATGTTGAAGAGTATGAAGGACAATTAGAACTTAAACTTGGAGAAATACTGTCCAACAAAGGAGCCACTCAAATAGTAGAGTTATAGTATAATGAGCTCAGCTACACAAGAGCACAACTTTTAATATCATATAGTTGTATGTGTGCTTCAGTTGGACCATAATGGTGTCAGTGTCTCAAAGGTTTCATCCAATTTTGTATTGTTAGTGTGTCTTCAGGCTAGGGCAGTACGATTTTTAAGAAACATCTGATGCCAATTTTTTAAATTGCAAATACGATTCAATTAGCGATTTCTGCAATACAAGGATAATGTTCAAAGTGCACTCGGATAATTTATTTTGGAAGGAAACCCAGACCCACACGATATATCAATCTGCTTTCACTTGTGTTCACACCGGACCATGATTTGTGGTGAGTTTACATAAAAAGTCAATGGTGATGTACATTGGTGTGAATATGCATTTTTGCGTCGCAGCAGGGGCGGAGGGTATGACAACCCAACGCATGCATATTGGAACATCGCAGGGCAGTATGTCCGCTGCATCAATGTGTCGCCGGTCTGAACGCAGCTCTAGAAAGTAGAGGGTCTGGCTGTCTGTTTGAGAGTTACAAGAAAAGTCAGATTTTCATAATATGCATTTTTCTGTTTATAGAAAAAATGATGTAATCTAAATAATGTGGATTAATTGAGATTGTTTTTATTGCAGCCATTGAAGTTATATTTGATTGTGATTAATTGTGCGGCCCTACATTTCACCAAGCCTGTAAAGTTAAGTGTATGTTGGTCAGAGGGAATCAATGGAGCCAGTTAGTGGGCTTGTTTCTGCCAGTCTACCCCAGTATGTGGCTCAGAATTTCTAGCATTGACCGCATCAATGCCTCGAGACTAGCTTTTACGTAATGCTTTGATGCTTGTCAGACCCATTAATCGCTTTACAATTGGTTGCCTTGTTCTTGTCTGTAGCATGTGGCCATGAGAGGACAGAAACACACGTTCCGTTCTTAATCAATCCTGTTTAATTAAAAGTTCCTCCACGTAATTACAACAGTTTAAACGATCTAATTAGTTCAACTGGACTCTACACTTCACTTTGTACCATACCAGCTGATGTCCTTTTCACCCCTGCAGCTCCTGTGATTGGTTCGGTCTCATCCATGTCTGACACTGCCTTTAAATCAGCCCGTTCTCCTTCGGGGAAACTGCTGGTCTGGAGTCGCTCATGAAGCAGAATGAGTAACTGAGGAAAGTCTTTTCTTTCCCCTTTATTATTGTATATATAATATATAAATATGTAGATACTTTTTTAAGTGATTCTAGGTCACTGTCAAGTCTAAATGAGAATTTCCCTGCATAGACTGATAAGAGGCTGTGTCCGTCAAACCAGCGAGAGTGAAAATGATATTTGCAGCAGCAATCGATAACGTGTTATTTATAACGACAGCTTCAAGCAAAATCCAACTTGGGGATAAAAAAAGACTATTTCTATATTATAGTATCAAAACAATCTAAATTCAATTAGAGAGTTCCCTATAAAGAAGCAAGTTGTGAGGATGTACAAGGGGGGAAATTATTATTTTTCATCATGGGAGCTGTGAATTGAAAGAAGCCTTGTTTCATTGTGGTGCTGCACAAATGATTGCAAATTTAGAGGCAGCATTTAGCAAATCACGAAGACTGGAATTATTAAGATTACATCATTTCCTAAACAAATTATAATTCTTGCAAATGATATTATAACAATCTGGCTATCCTTGCGTTTGGAGCTTTTAAAGAGGCTGAGGAATAAAAGGATCACTGGTATCTTAAAGCTCTTCTTCCTTTTTCACAGTCCATGCTTAGCACATGTGTGACAATAATTTGTGTGATACACCATACACTTATAGCAATTTCTTGCATAGCGGTGATGGTTGGTGACAGCTGGTTCTCTGCTTCTTTCCCTGTAAGCCCGCCTCCCCCCATCCACACGGGGACATAGCCTCGCGCTAACTGGGAGGTAAATAAATCAGCGTGAAAGCTAACTGTTCAGCTTTCGCCCGTACATAGTAATTTCAAACCTAAGATAACCCTTTTCCAACAATACTTTTTCCTCACGTAGAGCCCTATGTTCTTGATCCAGAATTGGCCCCTAATTATTTAGTTAACAGTGATCTACGGCGAGTTGGTTGCATTGTACTTACAGATCTATGCTCTACGTCAGCATCTTTTTTTGTGGGAATAAAACCGGCTTTCAAGATCAGCTTTTGAGTAAGTCCGGTTTCATGGTAACTGTAGCTATGTAACAGTCTCGTAGTAAAACAGATACAATGCGGATCCACGTGAAAAAATATATTCCAGCCACATTTGCATCATTCTTTGTCTTTAGACAGGCCAAATAGTGTTGTTGCATATTTATATACAAAAATAAATGTTCTCCAAGTTGACATGATGCTAACACAAAACAGCACAGTGTTGACGCGGGACCATACTAATATTTAGAGTCTATGGACCATACACTGGACTCTGAAAGAGAATACATGCGCTGATTCAGTGTTTCAGTTTCTCAATCACCTCCAGGAGGCGGGCATCTCACGTCACAAATTGGTGCCCCGTCATAAATTGAATCAAGGCGGGTTTCTGCCTCTCGAGAAAGAAAGATAAAGATGGCTCGCTAACTAAAGTCAATAAAAAAACTACTTAAGGCATGAGTATGAAGGCTAAATAGCACTAAAATGATGTATAAAGCATAGAAAAGTCAAAAAGCATAGTATGGGGCCTTTAAATAAAGGATACATTTCAATTTGAGTGCATTTTGGAAATGGAAAAGGCAAGTCTTAGTTTTAAGCACAGCGGGATTGCCTTAAGTGAGAATTTTCTTGTAATTTCAATCTAAAAGTGAAACTAATAAATAAGTCAAATCAATAAATAAAACATCAACAATGTGTTTTGGGGTTTGACTTTTCCTGTCATTTTGAATTTGTACCTTGTGCACTTTTAACGTTATCCTAGTTTTGTACTGTATGGTGAGGGTTATCATAGAGCGAAAAACAATTGGTTATAACAATAGACTGTAAATAACTTATATATGTCACCTTTACATAACACAATGTTTTTAAACATTAACCCTCTTTATTATCAGCTTTGTGGTAACGCTCATCCATGTGGGAGTCGTCTCATTAGTTTCATGTTTTGTTTTCTCGGCTTTACTTGAATGGCACTGTGGTGGTTATATTTGTGGTAATGAAGCAGTGCTACACAAAAGTTGTCTTCGGAAAAGTAACTGCAAAAGTCTCTTGAGTGCTCTACAATACTTTGACAGGCAATTACCCTAATGAAGAGGGAAGAGAACACATAGGAGAGGAGTAACTTCCTTAAAATGAAATCGTAAATGTAAAAGTTGTAATGTTCTTTGCAAAGGAAAAAGAGGAAATGTGACAACTATGTTCAGTGAAGTTCAACACTGACTCAAAGAAAAATATCTTACCAGCCATGGTTGAAATACCAAGAACCACTCCAATAGACAATTCAATCTGTGTGCCCTGAGAAAAGGGAGAAGAAAGTATTACATAACAGTAGTCTTAGCACAGTCTTACAATATGTCTACTGTTGATGGGATTGAAAAAAGGGAAAATGTGATCTAGTCTCCCAAATGTTCTCCCAAATTGGCAAAAACTTACAGCGACAATCATGATGCAGTTGTCCAGGAATCCAAACCCAACAAACGGAAGAGCATTGTGCAGAAGAACTGTGAAAAAAATATATGATTAATATTAAAAAAACAAAATGAGCAGAATCACTTTATTATTCACGAGTTTCCGCTTCTTGATGTCGACTATGGCCAAAACAAAACCCCAAGCAAATTTTAACATAACACAAAAGTCAGCAAATGAATGCAAGCTAAAAAACACCTTTCCTGTTCAAAATTCAGTTCAAAGGCTCAACAAAATGCAAGCCAAACATTTTACAGAGAAGGGCATTTTTGTTTAGCGCTTGGTTATATTAACTCTTTTATCTGCTCTACCGTTTTTGTTACTTCAAAATGTACTAGCACAGCATCTCCTGACGATACACATTTATTGGGATGCTACTCCAGGAACTCACAGTGGAGGAGAGCCGCGAGAGCTGTAGTCTTTACAGCTGAAGCTACAGGGATTGCTGATAAAACAAACACACTCTGAGACAAGATTAGATTTGAGATACTAGGCTGGAATTTTTTTTAGAAATGCATGAAGCGGCTGTTGTGAGACAAAATGACAATTATTCACACTACAATAAAACTGAAATATTTAACTAAAATCTTTACTGTATGTCAAAATAATTTATCTTTTATGAATATGACTCTTTTATAGTGCTCCTCAGCAAAAGCACTACAAATTGACAGCACACATTAATTCAAAAGCCCTAGTTCACTATCTAGTCCTGCACTCGTTAGTAGGCTATATAGTGCACTCTGGGTAAAAAGCATTAAAGTTTTTATCTGCTTACTAAAGGCATTGTTATTGGTACTGTAGGGGTCTGTCGGCTCCTGTTGCTCTTAAGTTCTTTTTTTTATCTCTTCAATAATGATAAAAAATGTAAAAGATTGATTAGAGTAGATCTTGGCAACGCACCTCTCTGAATGCAACATGGATCTGTTACGGGACTGGAAAGACCGCAGTGAAAAAGTACAACAAAATCTGCTAACATTGGATTTCTTACACTGATCAAATCTGACAGAAATAAAACTGCTTAGGGACAAACAGTATTTACTATAAATCCTAGAGACTTTACACAAGATGGATCTCACTTTAAACAGTTTGTATTTTCAACTTGAGATTACAAAGATCTAAGATAAACTGTTAAGTACAGTAGCGTCTTTTCTTCATAATTTTGGGTTAACTTAACAAGCGTGAAAAGTATTTGTATTTATTTATTTATTTATGGACATTTTATTGGAGGATAAACCCCATGAGATGTATCATCACGTTTTCGTGGGGGGTCCTCATGATCAGATCCAAAGAACATAGGATAGCAGAGTAGATACAGTCAAGTAAAACAAACCAACACAAAATATATTCATTTCTACTTTTCCCTGTGGTTTTCCCTAAATCTCACAAAGTATTGTGGTCCATATCGATTTCTCTTGTGCTCACTAGGTTTTGTGATGCATTGTGCATGGTGTGACCCGTGTATAGTGCACTATAAATAGCCCCAGGTTTGTGAACATGCTGTTTGACAATGTGTTGAGTCAGACTGTGGAAAATTTGAAAGAACAATTCAAAACTAATATTATTACAGGAGGAACATTTTTCACTGATCCTGGATTTTTATAAATGAATAGAAGAGAGCCTTTTGGTGGAGGTCTGTGCTCCACAAAAGGGTTAGTTTCCATTGCAGCCCCATGTCAACTTGTATTTACCGTAGTGATATTTGACATGATTATGTAACTACTTGTTCAAAAGGGGAACAAAAGGTTAGACAGAAAGCAGCACGTTACAATGTTGACTGTTTTTCTATTTTTTAGGACATAAACGAAATGCAGCAGGGAGTTTGCTTTTCATTGCAATTCAAACTTCCCAAAAACTAACTTCCTGATTCTTCCTGCTGTAGACCAACACAATTGTACAATCCCCCAAAAACATTACATATAAATAATAATATATGGACAGGTAAAAAATAGTACATTACTGCATATTTAAAATGCTCATTAAACGTAATCACAGCAGTTGTGAATTCTCTGGGGATGAATATGACAAACATTTCTTTTAGCTAATGTTATTGTCAATGTGAATTTAACAATATGTAAATTCACATTGACCTAACACACTAGATAATTCTAAAGGGAAAAGGAATCACTGGAGGAAAACTCAGAGACCTTCACTCTCTGTGGGAGGAACAGGTGCAAACATCCTCTGATCGCTGACTTTGTAATGATGCCTTCAGGGTGTCGTTTTTATGCTCCAGCGCGGAAAACAAACCGCTTTTCCAATATCTTTGTGCCCTCTTCCATACAACTGTTGAACTCTGGCAGAGGTGTTTGACTTTTGGGAATTGTCGTGTTGTTCATTGTTGTTTTTAACTTATATTGTAACCTGCTGCTGTGTGAACTGTGAGACTCACTGTGTGTTTGTGTAGATTATGTGTGTTCTACTTTGAGATTATGCTGCAAATGAATTGTCCTTTGGGATCAATAAAATTTTCTGAATCTGGAATGGAGGACACCCAATAAATGGTCAAATCAAATCAATTTTTTTCTACATTTCATGAAAACTTGTACAGATCAGATTGCTATTAAAGTATATAAACCATGGATAAATATATTAAAAAAAAAAAAAAATACCCCACAAAATGTCCTACCGTATCTTAGCTGTGCAGCAGTAGGAGGAGCGATCTCCATCTGCCCTGGAACGAAACGAGCAAATAAAAAGACACATGTTAAACAGCAGTATAATGGCTTAGGCTGTGGTGCCCTGAAGAAGAGTTTAGACATCCCTCCAAAGGCCAAACCAGGCTGACCGCAAGGAAGTGAGAGGGAGGAATGAGAGAGAGCGAAACAGGGGACGAGGAGCAGCAATTTACAGAGATGAAAGCAGAGGAGCAAATGGCTTCCAACTCCGAGTGTATCATGCAGCAGGTCAAAGGTTCTGTCAGAAAATGGAAATGAGTTTGCCCAAGAGGGAACGCGGCGCAATTATATCCAGGGAGTTTGAAAAATCCCTTTTATAAAACCATGACCAAGTTTAAGGCCAACTGGAAAGGGCTGCAAAGTTTACCCTACTAATCATAGGAGGACACACATAAATGTTGTGCTTGTATAGTATGTACAGTGTTGTACCAGTTCACAGCTTTTCTGAAATAGTTCAAGTTCTGTTCATACACGCTCAAAGTGTTCACGTTCAAAGTTCACATTTTTAATTCTGAACTAGTTCAAAGTTCAGTTCATTTTACTTTTTTCGTGAGATAATTAAATACATATTTTTTTCACACTACGAGCTATATATATATATATATATATATATATATATCTCCTGTACTGTACACCCACAGGAGGAGAGCCTTTTGACTTCAAAACAGACCAGATTTACATGGTTTTCAATGGGAGCCAAACAGAGTTGCTCCATCTCTGCTCATAAACTACAGACAGTAATGCGCTGCAGTGCGTGTGTCTATACTTTATGTCAAATGTAAACGGTGTAAACTTTGTCGCTAACTCACCCTGTGTTTTCATCACGACTCGGGCACATGTGAAAAGCACCAGCTCACAGCGCCGCACCGCAACACGGAGTCGGGGTGCGTTCACGGACGGTGGAAACCGTAGGAATTTTTAGATTTCGGCGGAAAAAGTGCGAGAATACAGGAGGGAGGAACTTTCTCTCGTTGCATTTCAAAAGAGAAAACAGATTCCAACGTTCATAGTGATGTCTGCCGTTCATGACACATAAAATGAACTAATTCACGTTCAAGTTCTTTTTTAAAAAAATTGTTGCGTTCAGTTCAACGTTCACGAAAAAATGAGCGTGTTCAATGAACGCGTTCTTTTGAACTCGTTCACGCACAACACTGAGTATGTATGTATGTATATGTATATATATATTTAATTTGTACAATCAATACAAATTAAAATATTCATTATAAAAAATCATTATGTCACTGTTAAAATTACAATCAACAGAATAATCCAAGACAGTACCTATTCTCTTTTATGCATGATCATTGTTTAGAAAAAAACAAATAAATAATTGATTTTCATCAATATTACACAATTGCAATAATGTGACATTCCTACGACTGGATCCCAAGTGAGACCACACTCACAGGAATTTGCACACACATTAGGAGAAGCAGTTTCCGGTGCAGTAAATTGAATTTTGGTGGCTCAGGTAATGAAGTCTGCTCTATAAAAACTGGGAGTATATATAGTGCCTTTCTCTTTGCAGGAATAATCGGGTCAGATAAAAGGCTACGAGAAACCCAGGAGACACAGGTACACACTCAATACTAGACACCTATAGCTATACGAAACTCATTCCAGTTTGAAGAAAGCTAAACAAGTTTTTTAATAGCGTATTTCATAGACAAGGCAACACAAAGTGCTTTACAAAACAATACAGGAAACATTAAATCATAAAACAGGTCAAAACAAACAACCACATTACATTTGCAATGGCCGTTTGGCGGAAATGTCAGCTTCCAATTACAACTGTGCCTTCTGCATAATCTGGCCTTTAAACAAAAGAAAGTTAAACACAAAGAGAATTTACAAATCTCATTATATCGACAAAATCACATCAGTCAAATATGAATTGTTGATGTTTCTCAAATGCATTGATTATTGAGATGTGTATCTGTTACACCTTGACATACCTCTGTTGAAAAATAAAATGGCTTGATCAAGGTACCCCTGAACTATCCCTGCAATAGATATATATTTGTAAATCCTGCTACAAGTTACACTGCACCTCTTTATGGAAGGTTGACCTGGCTCTCCTAGTACTTCCAGTGACACACCCTTTCCTCTCTTGGTGTCATATTACAAGTCTTTGTGCATTGGTCTCATGTTGCTCACACCTTGCCGGAAAAAGTGTCTTTCCAAATCCACTCCCAATTTGACTTAAACGTTAAACACTTTCGCATTTACAAGCCAACCAAACAAGACTCCAGAGAGACTGATATAACTTGACTGAAAAGAAAGTAAACACACTGATGTCGAACAGGGAATACTTTGAAATTTTAATTTGAATCTCCTAATGGCCATTCTTAGCTCATTAGACAAACATTGCTGTCAACACAACGGCTACATCAAACAAAGTGAGAGGGATAATAATAGGCAACAAAAATATTGGCAGACATTTATTCAAGGTAGCAAACAAACTTAAATAGGGAAGATATGTAATACCATTTACAAATGGGCAACACATGAACGTAATGATAATAAAGACAATTACAATATTGTCTAATCGTCCAAAGAGAGTTTTAGAGCGATTTTGGATCTCTTATAACACTTTCAAGCAACTGTGGAACTCATCATTCTAATCCCACTATGCAGGAGCTTGTGATTTTCCACTTTAATGTTTTGGTTATCTGAAGGTTGAAGCTTCTAGCGCCATGGCAGGTGCTGATTGGACTGTTTTCGATTCCTTCATGCTTTAAAATCACATGCATGCTAAAAAATCCTTGTTCGTGTCTCGTCTTTATCATTGACATAATTCCAGACCGATCTGCATCTTGCCTCATTTTCAGCAGAATCTTTTCCTTTTGAGTTTAATCTTCCTTTAAAAAAAAAAAAAAACATCTAAATAAATCAGTCATAATATTCAGAGTTTTAAACTGGATGTAAACTGGATGCAGCAAAAGTTAAAAATGAGGTCGTTCACACATCCATCAAGGACGCGTGGGGGAAATTTGCACGAATAATGGTGTGTGAAGTTATGAAATCTGCTCATCCAAAAAGAATTCTACAAAATCCTTCATCACTTTGAAATATGAGGCCAAATAAAAATGCAGCAGAGTTTCTCCTCTTCTCGGCAGAAAGCCCATTAGCAGGAGCAGCCCCACCTGCGCTCCGTTCATTTATTAGCTGGGTGATAGTTGACAGGAGCACATATACTGCCCCAAACCTTCACGCTATCACATATTGATCACCTCAGATTTGAAAGTCTCTCTGGGCTAATAATGCCTGTGTAGAATAAGATTGTAACAGACAGAAGATAAAAGGGCACATAATGGGATGTGATAAGTGGCCGAACACAGGCGTAATACAACACAGAATCAGCTTTGCTCACTCTGATTCCAATCTTCTCCACCAAAAAACTGACTGAGAGTGACGCCTTCGCAGAGAACTAAAAAACACATGTTAATCTAAGATGTCGATCAAAACTGAATTAGTGCTCAGGTTGTCCATCCATTTTCTTCCCCTTAATCCATTTCTGGGTCAGTTTTAAAACTGTGTGTCAGCTTTAAAACTTGTTAAGTTATCATCAAGCCCGAAATGAAATTGTTTATGGAAGACTTTGTGTTTTTAAATGAGCTTACATTTTTTATTTTTTTATTTGAAATGTGTAACCCTGAAAATATATATTATAATATATATAATACAATATATATAATAATTATAATATTTTTTGATTTGCGTTTCGATCTCAAAAAATCAGATTTCAATGAGATTAGAATTTCAAAATGACATATTTGCCTTTAAAATATTCAATACGTAAATATTTGAGCCCTGAAATTCAATGCACTGTGAAATTCGATGAAGGATTGTTTGTTCCATCAGATTTTGAATTTTAAATGGACCTAAATTCATCTGTTTGAATTTTTCCTGGTTGGTGGTGGTCAGAGGGGCCGATGACTACTGGCTTCCTCGTTTCTGTCAATGTGCCCCAGGGCAGCTGTGCCTACAACAGTAGTTCACCGTATATGGAGTGACTGAATAATGACATGTAACGTCTTTGAGTGTCCAAAAAAGCACTATATAAAAATAATGCACTATTATAATAGTTATTATTCACAAAGTTAGTATTTAATGCCCAAATTCTTACTGTTTTGATGTCATTTGAAGGACTTAAAGCCCTTATTGCATAATTCAATATAAAAACACTTATTACTGTCCAAATATCAATATTCACAGTTGGTTGAGTGATTTATCTGCAACTTTTTGCATTTACTATATCACAAATATAACAGGACTAATATAAGGGGAATATTTTCACCATATGACAGCAAAGACTGTTTGTCCTTGGGCATGATGCTACTATTGTTAAACAACACTAGTCACCCATGGCAAAGAAACAAGCACAAACTATGGCTTCTACCATTTCGTGATATTGTGAAAAGGTTTTTCAACAAAGGAAATCTGTGAAGATAACATTTTCTCTTGGCTAAACTGGTATGCTGACAAATATCTGCCTTTGAAATCCAAGCTGTTCCTCCTTTCAAAGAAAATATGACAATTAAAGCCAAGAATATTTCTGCAAACTTAGGCTTTTCAGTCTATCATGTAAGCTAGTTCTTGGATGCCTTTTCTCCACAATTTTAGGGATCTTCAGAAAAAGTAATTAGTTACCTTATTCTTGTCTCTTTTTGTGGTGTTCCATGGATTGAAACGATCGGATCCGAGTTTGCCGTGACGTATGTAATGCGCCCAAGTGAGTGAGGCATCTAGCATTTAACCTAGCTTCAGCCATGTCCTTTGCCAACGGAGCCCGTGGGGAGTAGAACCACAACATCTTTTCCATGATGGGAAATAATAATTGACCGGAGTTTACAGATGGCTAAGGCCAGGATAGCATCAAGTCAGACGGAAAATTCTGCAGCAGTAAAGCTGCCCTGTGCTATTACCAAATTAGTCAAAGTAAAGAAAGCACACCAGTGTTCCTAGACAAAGTGACATTGAGTGATAGATA